ATTCCTAGGTATTTTATTCCTTTTGATGCAACTGCAAATAGGATTGTTTTCTTAATTTCTCTGGTAGTTCATTATTCATGTATTGAAATACAACGGATTTCTGTAATATTAATTTTGAATCCTACAACTTAACTGAATTCATTTATTAGTCCTAACATATTTTTGGTTGTCTTTTAATGATTTTTCATATATAAAATCATGTCATCTGCAGACAGGTTTACTTTTTCCTTTCTAATTTGGGTTTCTTTTATGTCTTTTTAAAATTTATTTTCATTTATTTATTTTTGTCTGATTGCTGTGGCTAGGACTTCCAATGCATTAAGATTGTCCGTCAGTTCCTGCTAAAAAAAGAGAGAGAGACAGAGGCTTCCCTGGTGCTCCAGTGAATAAGAATCCACCTGCCAATGCAGGAGACACAGGTCTGATCCCTGGTCCAAGGAAGAACCCACAAGCCTCGGGGCAACTAAGCCCTTGCACCACAACTGCTGAGCCCACACAGCCCGGGAGCCACAGCTGCTGAGCCTGTGCGCCTGGAGTCTGTCGTCCACAACACGAGACGCCACTGCAGTGAGAAGCCCGTGCACCTCAACCAAGCAACTGGAGAAAGCCTGTGGGCAGCAACAAAGACTCGGCACAGCCAATAAATACATACATTAGTTTTTTAAAAAGAGGATAGAAAACCCGGGGGTAATTCTCCTTTCTGAATGATGAATCTGAATTATTCTCCTGAAAAAAATTTCATTGAGTTATTGCCTAATTTGTAGTATTTAAAGATAAATAATCCATGGTGTACATACAATTAAGATTTCTTAAAAATAAATCCAGAATGTGTCCCAGACTCAAATATAAACTTATTAGTTATAAGCAACTGAGTTGATCTATTAGAGTCCAAAATACTGAAACATTTGTGCTCCATGTGTATAAAAATCTCAGTTTAAGACTGCCCTGCTGTTGCCAAGAGCACAGCCCTACAGACCCAGATCTTTTCAAGATCTGATGTTCCAGGCATTCAAATATTTCCTATTAAACAGAAAAAGGAGTCCCCATTAATGGATCAATCCATGTTTGAGTTTTTAGGTAACATCAATATAAATAGCCTACATAAAATTGAGAAGCTCAACAGAAATCTTTATTTCTTTTTTAAAGAAATAAATTCAAGGTTTTATTCTCTGTAATTTATCCTAGTCATAAGTATTACACTCGAGAAGTCATAGTTTTTTTTTTTAATAATAAACCAATTCTACTTATTTAACTACTAAAAAAGAAATATATCACTTTAGCACAACAAACACAAAAAGTTCTGAATCAGCACTCAGTAGAGATACGTTTTGCTTTAGGCTCTGCCATACCTGTATGACCTTAGGCAAATCATTTGACCTCTGCAGGTTGAGCTCTGATGGGCAGACTTCCTTCCGTGGTTTAACAGGATGAGACTGCAATTAGGTAAAAGGCCCCTAGATGGTGGTGGTGTTCTGAGTTAGGCTTTGTATTTCCCCTCCACCCCAAAATTACAGTGAAGCATAAAGGAGTAGGTTAGAAAATTATTTCCTATTTAGTTCTGAAAAAATTCACTGCTAAGGATTCAAGTAATGACATTCAAAATAGCACTGAATTATGAATCATATGGTCCAGTTACATTTGATATTAATTAAAAGAAATATACCATGAATGATTATATTAATACCAAATATATCTTTGTAATTAGCCTATATCATCAGGTGTATTTATCTAAGCTTAAGAAGCTGAACAAAAACTAAACAATTATTGTTAAGAGTATTGATGCATAACAACCCTATAGAAAAATTAATTTTTTTTCAAATGCCAGTTCTAACAAATTTTGATAAATGTACTGATTTTTTTTCATAATGAATATTTCAGACTATTAAAAACCTATGATTCCCATGAGCACAAATGACATTAACTGCCCCTCCCCAGTCACATAAACTAGAGCATCTTTTAAAGAAATCTGCTGTCTTTCAGTGTTCAAAAGGGTGAGAATTAAATTACTTCTCTAACACGTGCACCCCAATGTTCATCGCAGCACTGTTTATAATAGCCAGGACATGGAAGCAACCTAGATGCCCATCAGCAGATGAATGGATGAGGAAGCTGTGGTACATATACACCATGGAATATTACTCAGCCATTAAAAAGAATTCATTTGAATCAGTTCTAATGAGATGGATGAAACTGGAGCCCATTATACAGAGCGAAGTAAGCCAGAAAGATAAAGACCATTACAGTATACTAACACATATATATGGAATTTAGAAAGATGGTAACGATAACCCTATGTGCAAAACAGAAAAAGAGACTCCTATGTATAGAACAGACTTGTGGACTCTGGGAGAAGGCGAGGGTGGGATGTTTCAAGAGAACAGCATTGAAACACATATATTATCTAGGGTGAAACAGTTCACCAGCCCAGGTTGGGTGCATGAGACAAGTGCTTGGGCCTGGTGCACTGGGAAGACCCAGAGGGATTGGGTGGAGAGGGAGGTGGGAGGGGGGACCGGGATGGGGAATACATGTTAAAAAAAAAAAAAAAAGATACACTATGGTTGTGATAAAATAAATAAAAAAAAAAAATAAAAAAAAAATAAAAGGAAAAAAATAAATAAATAAATAAATTACTTCTCTAGTTTAACCCACCAAAGAAAAAGGATTTGGAGATCCTAGTCTGTGGTGGCTTAGATGAACAATATTAGGTTTTCAACTAAAATTCCTGAAAAGAGCAAGAATACATTTCTATTTCTCCACTGTGAAATTCACTGAGTATAAAAGTCACGTTCAATCAATATGCAGAAGAAAAAAGTACCTACACCATGCTACATTTTTACTTCTCATCGGTTGAGTAGGTAATAAATGACAAAAAATGTAGCATGATGAAGTGGAAGACATATAACTGCAAATTTTGTTTCAACAAAGATTTTTTGTCAATAAATTAAAGAGGAAAGATATTTGGATCATAGTGGCTCCAAGATAGTATTACTACTACATGAAAATTACCCCATCCATCCAGCCAACCAACCAACCAACCAACCAAAAAACCTCTATTGAGCCTATATGGTGCAAACGGCTAGAGATAAAAAGATAAGATATCATCTCCATTCTCAAAATCTCAGTCCAGTATTCATGAGAAAAGGACTTTGAAAAGTTCAGTTCAGTTTATTATAGTGTCAAGTAGATATACACCTATTGCACTTATCATTCTGCTGACAGAGGCCAAAATTTAAGAGGAATATTTTTCTCCAATAAAGCTAGGTTTTCCTGATTTTCAATATAAGATGTTAAGATTACACAGGCAAAGAAATATACCTCATGTCCTATCCCAGTTCCCCCGAGTCTCACCTTCCTGCTGTTATACAAGCTTGCTGCAAATAGGAATTTAGTTGAGACAATGCTTTAAGCCATCCACTTTTTATGAAATTACTCTTGAGTGGTATTTGACCAGTTTTCTTTATTCCATCTTCTATACCCAAAACATCTTAAAAAAAAAAACAAACAAAAAACAGCTCCCATAGCTCAAAATCAATTGTAACCATATAATGGGAAATGAACTTTAATCAAAGACAAGGTAAGTCTCTCCTCCGTTATAGAACCCCACATGGTGTTCACATAATGGTTTCATCACTTAACTGCCTAACTTTTTGGACAATGGAAATAACAACAAAAGCAAAAAGGTGGCCCAGCATATGAAAATCTTCTCAAAAACAGAAGAAAGTTATGAACATTGTTGGGAAAGTGTTTTACATTTCCAATGAAATTCTATTCCATTGATCTGTTTGAAAGATTGTCTTCAACCAATATATTTGGCTTCAGCCCAGAAGCTATAATTGATTCGGTCTCACAATGAACCACTTTTTAGCTTTAAGACTTTTATCTTAAGCCTGGGGTGCATTACAATGGATAGCAGGAAAGTGGTTTTTATTTACTCTAAAAACTGCAGGGATGAGCTAGGGGGAAGAAAACAACCCTGAAAGTATTAGCCTTCAGATTCTCAAATTATCTTTAGCTCTGATTATATTTGGAAGAATGAGCTGGGGGTTTGGCATTGTTTCCCATCTTAACAGTTGCTCTGTATTTTGAGATATATGTATGTGATTCATAATGTACCACTGTTACAAGACACAGCTTTAATATATTACTGGGGTAACGCAAAGAAAATGAATTTTTCTTTGAGTACCAGTAATTGTCAAAAGAATGATTACAGAATCAGAAAATGTGCTTTATAATAACCCTGTTAACATAAAGTATACACAGAGGAAAGAAATAAGTACTGCAGGTATGTGAGAGTTAGTTATATTAGCAAGGCTTTTCAGGGTGGTTTTGGTTCTTATGACCAAGATGCATCAAACTTTAACCACTTTCAGACACTGGGACAAAGGGAAAACATCTGGCAACACAGGAGCATTTGGTGACTGTGAGCTGATTTACCACATGCTCACCGAGGCTCCACTAGTCAATGAACTACTCCCTTCTGAAACAAGGCTTTGCCCTGGTCATAAGGATAATGCTCTCAAGCTGTTAGAATTAATTTGAATGTCAAAAATGAGATTTAGGTTACCAACCATCGCCTGAGAGTTACAGCATGTAGAATAACACATGACCTCTTTTTAAAACCGAAGTGAAAAATGAAGAAGCACGGTTAATTTACTTGTGCTGATGAACACAGACGTCCCAGTGCAGGGTTCGCTTCTGAGCGTCCCAATGCTGCCCTGTCGCCAGACACTCTGCCGGGGGGAGGGTCTGCCTGCCTTGCTCCTGCCTGATGTCCTCCTTGGTAGAAACGGGCTCATGGGTTTCCATGCGCCCGTTTCTAATGCGAATGAAAGCTAACTACAAAATCAAGATGTTTTCTGCTTTCAGAAAATTCTAGTATACCGTATACAGCATCGATATTTCTTTCGGTTTAAAAAAATAGTGCAAAAACATATCTGATAGTCAAAGTGAGAGTTCAAGTGAGTTTTTGTGCCAAGGAGCACAGTCAAGCATCACCTTTAGCTAACTTGTAAAAACTGAATGTACGTTTTGGGAAATATTCCAGATTTTCCCATCAGTTCTCCACTCATCCAGTCATCATCGACAGATTCCAGCTCTGTTATTATGTCTCCAGCCTGCAGGAAAACAGGAATTGGAAATAATGATTACGTTTCTGTGGAGTGTACACATGTTAAGCTGCTTCTCTTCCTCAAACCCCATTCCTGTTATTGTCGCCTTTGTTGCGTTTCCTGGTTGTATTTTGTGCCCCTCAAATTCACCACTCCTAATCTAAAATTCTTCTTTAATAAATAAAAATACCAGCTGACATAAGTATATACATATAAATTTTTTCCCCAAATAGCAAGTATTTATCAGGCACCCACTACGTGTCAGACACTCTTCTAGGCACTATGGATACGGCAATGGAGAAAGACCTTACTCCAGAGCTGGGAGACGGTAGCTGAGCCAGCGGAGGAGGGCAGAACGTGTGAGCTGCCATCGCGCCAGGGCAGTCTGGGAAGGCCTCCCCCAAGGCGACACGCAAAGGCCTGGTGACGAGAGCGCGCTGCATGCCCACTGTGTGTGTGCCGTGTCCTTTTCTATCTGCTTTATGGCACTTAACTCACTTATTTGATTTTTTATCAAAATAAGAACAGTGAAAATTAACTCATTTAAACAATACTGTAGTCCTAGAAGTGGTACCATTATTTCCCCATTTTTGAGAAATATTTTTAGAGATTTCCTTATTTTATAGAGAAGGAAACTGAAGCTCAGAGGGATTACGTGACTTGCACAGTGCTGCATGTGTCGTTAGTGGTAGAAAGAGGATTCAAATCTAGTGATCCCAGGGCCTATCCAGGAATCATAATGGATAACTTAATGTTAACCATCAGGCATGAGGTCACCACATTATACAGTCTACCTTTTTACTTAGAAAGGTTTTTACTAAATTGGCCTTTTCTCAGCCTCCTGAGCATTTTGTACTGTACATTTATTCTTCCACATAATGGTATTCTCCTCCACCATTGGGTGCATTCCACTCCGCCACGGCCTCAGTATCAGACTGCACTCTTCCTGTCCCTGACTCAGCACATGATTGTCTTCAGTGGGCTACTCAAAGGGTTGTGTGTCTTATTCCTGTGTGAATTATATTATCTCAACAGACGAAGACATAAGTTTTGAAATTATCTCCTGAAACTATTTTGTGCTTTATGGTTTCTAACCATTTCCTAGAACCTGAGTTTAAGATTCTGTAATGGTCCAAGAATACCCTGGCTACTTTTAAGGATATCTTTATCAGGTTAAATGGATTTATTCTATAAATCCTAGGACACTGCTCTTTGGAAAACTGGTTTAAAGTCATTCTTAACGGAAAATGGAAAGGGAAAATGCTGACTATCCAATGTCATTAATTTAGTTTACTCTGCTAAAATGTGTAAAAATTTTGGCATTCAAAGTTTCTATTATAAGTTCCTTCTGGTTCCTAAATTATAATCCTTGACTAAAACTATTTTTCTTAGTTCTGGTTCATACATACATACATATATGTCACATCTGTTTTCTGAGAGCTAGGACAATTTTTAAAAAGTTTTATTTACTAATATTATGTGGATATTGAATAAAATATTAATGATCAACAATACTGAAAATGGTACAGCATCCCTTAACTAAAAAACTCCAGAACTATCTTGCTTACAGTCAGGCATTTGTAAAATGAAGACAACCTATTTTCTGGATGACTATACTGACATAACCTAAATGAAGGCCAAAATAATACCCAAAAAGTCTGAACCCAGAGAGTTCACCTGCAGTAACAGTACACTTGAGGGTAAAAGGAGTTAATTTTGAGCCACTGACTCTCAAGATTGAAGAGGGCTAGGGCAACAGTTTCTAAACATTTGGATTTTATGGACCAAGAAATTAAAAAGAAAGAAAGAAACATATAGGGTTACCAATTATAATTTTGCATAAGAAATATGTATCATTTACTAATAATATTTTATAACAGAAGCCACATTTTAGTATGAAAAAGAAATTCTCAGAAGAAAGTAAACTCCATCACAAAACAGAAAAGTTAGCAACCTTATACTGACGTATCTCAGCATGCCCACCTTTCTCCATGGCTCCCCTAAAGCCTCCATATCCCCAGTCATCACTGTTTTCCTCATTTTGTTGTAGACAGGTGTAAACCTTATGTGGGTACCCACTGTCTTAAGTCTCATCTTGTCCAATCACTCCTGGATACTTCAATTCCCTCTGTGGCATCCCTGCTCTGAGTAGCTCCAGTGATGGGGAATCCCCACTGCCTGACAACTCTTCTGACGGCATCTGGCCCAAGACCAAAGCACTACCGTGGGTACTTTCCTCTACCACAATCCACCTGTGGATGCAGAAACAGGATCATGCAAGTATTCTGTCTGAGATTAAGGTTAGGCTTTAGGGTTCTTAAGAAACCCGTCTCAAAGCACCTCGACCTTTTGGGATCACTACCCTAGAGTCTGTTCAGTATCTCTGTGGACAACGCTCTGGGGCCTGGTGCAGTAGGCCAGCTGCAGTAGGGCCACCTGACTTCCCCACGGATTTCAAGACGTGACAGCAGCAGGCGGCAAGGGCCATGCAGAGGATCAGCCCTTCTTTACTTTGGCTGAGCTGCGCGTCATGGGATCTTAACTCCTGAACTAGGGATCAAACCTGTGGCCCCTGCAGGGGAAGCACAGAATCTTAACCGGGGATCACCAGGGAAGTCTGAGGGCCATCCTTTACTAGGGTTTCCAGTGAAGCCTCCAGCATTAGTGAGGTCACATGTCATAAGGCTGAGAAATAAGGAATTTGTTAGGCAACTGTGGGTCTAGCAATATCAATAAGACTTCAAGTACCTAACTGCTCTGCTGATAAGATACCTTTGCCCCAGTCACTTCTCTAATCTCATCCTTAAGAACGAGGGTCTGAGATCTGTTCATTCTTGATCAATGATCAATACTCCATGCAAGTGTTCACTCTTCAGTGGAAGACATTTCAAAATTTACAGCTGCTTAATGCAGTTACAAAAAAGATGCACATTCTGACCTTGAAGGAAAGCTCATCTTCATTCTCCCCATGGAAATCATACAAGGCTTTGGCCTTCCTCCCCTTCAGTGATAAAGCAGCCATGCCTTTTGCCTCAGCTGTGAAGACACCGAAAATTCAAATACATAGAAAGACATTGACTAAAACACAAATAAAACATTTTAAGAAATCCCCCTTGTCATTTCCAGGACATAACATTTTCAATTAATTTTGAATTTAACTTGCAAAAAGATGACAGATGTTCTCTTAGCAGAAAAAAATTATACAAAATATATTCAGGAGATAAAACTAGCCATTATTGATTAAAGGCATCTTTACCTCTTTTTCCCCCATAACTTCAACAAATTATATGCAGAAAGTTTGCATAATCTTATGAATTAACTTTCAAATATAGGCCAACAACTTAAATTGAGCATGGCCAGAGGGAAAAGAAACCTGTATCGTTTCAAAGGTCTTGGGGCCCCCTTGGAGGGTAAGGGCCTCCCGGGCAGCAGTGGTACCTGGGCAGGGCCGCACGAAGACGGCGGGGAAGATGCCCTCTCGGTCCCGCAGCCTGCCCTTGCACCAGTCCGAGTCCACTCGCTCCAGGATCAGGATCCGGTCTCCCCTCTTGAAGGACAAGTCCTCACTGGTCTCTGCCATGAAACTGTGCAGAGCTTCGCACCATTCTCCACAAAGATTGTCCTCCTGTTACAAATCAGTTTGGTAAGAAATGTGAAATTTTATTTCAGATTAATTTTCACAAAGCTTAAAAAGTGGTGGCAAAAAAACTAAGGAGTCACAACGTTTCAAAGTCTGAGGGCCACTTTAAATCACTCAATAACTAATGTCACTAATGAATTTCAGAAATAAAAGCTTCCAATGACTTTTTTCTTAAAATTCTAAATGACATGTGATAAAGTTTGTGACTTTTGCTTTTAAGGGATATATAACGCTTAAGTAAAATTTTTTTTCTAATTATGGTCTGTGACATTGTGTGTGCTAAGTCACTTCAGTCATGTCCAACTCTTTGCAACCCCATGGACTGTAGCCCGCCAGGCTCCTCTGTCCATGGGATTCTGCAGGCAAGGGTACTGGGGTAGGTCGCCACGCCCTCCTCCAGCGGATCTTCCCACCAGGGATGGAACCTGTGTCTTCTGCATTGGCAGGTGGGCTCGTCACCTCTAGTGCCGTCTGGGAAGCCCATGATCTATGACAGTAGATTAAAAAATTAGATAAAAGTTTATCATATTTGTATATAGTATTTATGACACTATGAAAACATTCTGGCAAACATATAACTTTCCTTTTTTCTTTTTTTCGGCCACACAGTGCAGCTTGTGGGATTTTTTTATTATTAATTTATTTTTTATTGAAGGATAATTGCTTTACAAGCTCGTGAGATTTTTAATTCCCAGACCAGGGATTGAACCCAGGCTCTTGGTATTAGAAGCCCAGAATCCTAACCACTGGACTACCAGGGAATTTCCAAGCATATAATTTTCAGTGAAGATCTTTACCTAAATTAGGAAGGATCAGAATGGGCAGTCTGTTAATTCCCAGGCCTCTACCTGGTGACTCAGCAATAAAGCATTTGCCTGCAATGCAGGAGATGTGGGTTCAATCCCTGGGTTGAGAAGATCCCCAGAGGAGGAAACGGCAACTCACTTCAGTATTCCTGCCCAGAAACTCCATGGACAGAGGAGCTTGGTGGGCTCCAGCCCAGGGAGTTGCAAAGAGTTGGCCACAAGTAAGCACACAGCTGAGTGCTGCACACACAGCTGGCTGAGAGGCTATCGGGTCCCACGGCCCAAGACTGCATTAGCGCACACTTCATTTCACAAGTCACAGTTCACTCCAAGGCTGGCAGGGTGACCGCCCGGATGTGGTGGGCTAGCGTGACGGTTCATGCTCCAACAAGAATGCGTTTCACTGCAAATACATCATAAGAGGGTTCTGCTCTGTGACAAGGAGTCTCTGCCAACTCAGACGGGCGCCCCGTGTTCAAGAAGCCCAAGCAGGAGGCAGGGCTCGCACCCGAAAAAAAGCTTGGAGCCAGATGGGCCCGGGTTCCAGAGCAGTTCTGCACTCCCAGCTAGCTCAGGGCAAACGTCTCACTGCTCTAAGCCTCAGCCGCATCTCGGGGCTCACGCGGGGGTCAAATGAGTAACACGTGCAGACTGCTCAGCGTGGTGCCTGGCACATCTTAAGTTCTCAACAGTTGATGGCTTCAAAGAGAAACAACAAAATAAGCAAGCAAAAGCCTAACCCTATCCTCTTGTTCCTGAACTCGAGAAACCAACTCTACAGAAGAGTACTGGTCATTCCTGAGAAATAGTGGCCACCATGCGAACATTTCCTTTTGAAGAACTGTGGCCACTTTCTTTCCTGTTTGACCATCAGTGGGGGATGAGAGAATTGAGAGACACACAGCCCAGTGACCCCTGATGTTGTGACAATGACCCCGTCAGGCTCACTCTTCTAAAATCTGTCACAAAAAACGATGGAAGTCACTCACATTCCCATCCAGTTTGAACACTTTTGAAGTCATGCTAAATACTGTAAAAATTTTAATACATTTTTTCTCTCTCCCATTATAAAAATAATGCAAATGTTCCTGAACATTTGGCAAGTTCGGAAATCTACAAAGAATGGGAAAAACATCCATCTATCTATAATGTTAACCACCTAAGGAAACTGAATGTTAACAACTTAAATACATTTCCTGCTAGTCTTTTTATGCTGTATATTCAGTTTCACTATGTTTTCCTCCCATGACATTTACTTTACAAATCTAGTTTTTCATGCTCAGGACATTTTCCCAATAACGGCCATATTCAGGTTATTTCCAATTTTTTCATGTTTATAATAACACCGCTATGACCATCTTTGTCAATAAAACCTTGTCTCATTTTTCATCTTTAGGGTGAGAGATAAAAACAATGATAACAATAATCTGTACTTTTCCTCTTTTTAACAATCACATACCTATAATTACTTGTTTGCTGTTGTTGTATTGACTCTTTGGTTAACTAGATATGTTAAATGGTATTTTATTGTCTCCTTACATACAAGGCATTTCTTTGATTACTGTAAGGTTAAATAATTTTTTTAGGGACTTCCCTGGTGGTCCAGTGGTTAAAACTCTGTGCTCCCAACACAGGGAGCGTGGGTTTGAGATCTGGACAGGGAACCCAGGTGGTGCAGCCAAAATACAAACAAACAAAAAACCTTTTTTACTATCAGCCACTTATACTATCTCTTTCATGAATATTCCAATGTCTCTTTCCTCGTTAATTTTTATCAGTGTTTGTATGTTTTTCTAATTCATTTGTATGATGAGCTCTATGAGCAAGAAAAATATTAATCACCTATTTACCTCAAATATCTGCTACATGAATTTAAAAATTAAACACTTCTTTTGATAATTATGATTTTAATAGTCCTCCCAGAGATAAAACTTGGCTTTCACCACAGTTATCTATTCAAGCAGCCTACCTGAGACTTTGCACCAGAATCTTCTTTTTTGGTCTTTGGTGGTACCTTTGTGCCTATATTTTTAAAAGAAAAATCAAAACTTCAGATGTAAAGACCATACAGCATTGGGGAAAAACTTTGGGAGGAAAGTGAAAAGCCTGGGATTCCAGATCAGTCTCTTCATGTACTGGCTACTAGCTTTGCCAGGCCAGTACAAACTACCCTCTCTGGGTTTGTTTTCTTTACTGTAGACCGAAAGAGGAAATACATTAGTTATACTCTATAGGCCATTTCTGTTTAAAAGTTGATGACTCTTTTTTTTGGCCATCTCTAATATGAAGCTTCCATGATAGCTAATATGAACGGCTTCCCTGATAGCTCAGTTGGTAAAGAACCCGCCTGCAATGAAAGAGACCCCTGTTCAATTCCTGGGTTGGGAAGATCTGTTGGAGAAGGGATAGGCTACTATCCAGTATTCTTTGGCTTCCCGTGTGGCTCAGCTGGTAAAGAATCCGCCTGCAATGTGGGAGACCTGGGTTCCATCCCTGAATTGGGAAGATCCCCTGGAGAAGGGGAAGGCTACCCACTCCAGTATTCTGGCCTGGAGAAGTCCATGGACTGTGTAGCCCAGGTTGTCACAAAGAGTTGGACACGACTGAATGACTTTAGTAAAAAAAATATGAAGCTACTGTTAATTATCTAAAACACAAAAACCAGCTCTTTGAGAGACTGCCACATTAATGACTATCCCCAAAATGACAAATACCATTTAAAAATAATTTTTCCTTCTACCTTAAAAAAATATGGCAATGTGGATTGTTATTCAACTTAAGTATTAACCTATTACCTGGTTTATTTGAATTAGGATCAGTCAGACAGTCAGTTCAGTTGCTCAGTCATGTCCGACTCTTTGCGAGCCCATGAATCACAGCACGCCAGGCCTCCCTGTCCATCACCAACTCCCGGAGTTTACTCAAACTCATGTCCATCGAGTTGGTGATGCCATCCAGCCATCTCATCCTGTCGTCCCCTTCTCCTCCTGTCCCCAATCTTTCCCAGCATCAGGGTCTTTTCCAATGAGTCAACTCTTCACATGAAGTGGCCAAACTATTGGAATTTCAGCTTCAACATCAGTCCTTCCAATGAACACCCAGGACTAATCTCCTTTAGGATGGACTGGTTGGATAGAATTAGGATAGTACACAATAAAAAACCATATTCTCTATACTCACTTAAAACATTTGTACCAGAGGTGGGATGATCCTCAATGAGTTCCACAAAGTTAAGGGGGAAGATCCCAGATCTGTCTCCAAGTTCTCCTCTCGCCCACTCATCATTCACATACTCTTTAAGAATAATAATTTCTCCCTCTGAGAAACTTAACTCGTCCTTCTGGTCTCCAATATACTCAAATCGAGCAATACACCTTGGGCCTCTGAAGAAAGATCACATTTGTGGGTTAAATTAGGCAGTACTAACTTTCAAAATGCCTGGAAACCCTCATTTAATCTTTCAGTGAGTATTTATTTTGTATTTACTTTGGAACAAGATATAAGAGGCATAATTTAAAATTTCCATGAAGAAGACTAAGCTACATTTCTAAATGCCAGTCCTTACTTTGTAGATACAAGCCTGTTTCACTCAGAAAGGCTAAAGTCACGGTTTCTAGTACATGCAGAATGCCAGAGAAGCAACTAGTGGTTAGTTTAGGTTGTCACATCTTTTGATCACCTTTTCATGACAGAATCTCCCCAGTCTCCATGTTTTTGTATCCCTGGGCCACAGTAATCCAGGGCTGAGTCTGAACCCTCTCAAGTCATAAACGCACTGAGTTTAGACGTGTTAACCCTGAGGATCTCAGGGCAAGACATCAAGCTTCCATGGCAGAAAAGCAATGGGCATCAGCTGGGCAGGGCAGATGCTTAAGATATGTTGAATCAGTGAGTTCTGTATATAGATAAATGGTCTTCAAAACTAGGAGGTTCAAAGAAAACACACTCGACATATTATGTTACAATATTTAATCTTATACCTAACACTGTTGTTTTAAAATGATTTTTGTATCTCCTTTAAAAAGGCTTCAGTTCTGAGAACTGGAACAATCCTTAAATGCTCTGCAATTCTGACTGATAATAAGATTAAAAAAGACATGATACTGCATCCCTCGAAGACATGATTGAATACCAAACCCTCGATTTGAGGTTTCAGAAAGGAAATTTCAATGGCAATGACTAAGGAGAGGCAATTGCCTGAAAAGAAAAGGTTGGTACTGGCTGCAATCAAAGTCTGATTTAAGTCAGGTCAATGGATCAACGGCTATGAAAGCCCACTTTAAATTCAACCTGCTGACACAGTAAACACCGCTTAAAAATAGGAGAAAAGCGGAACCTGAAACAGAATGAAACTATTGTGGTCTCGGAAGTTTTCTTATTTGTGATAACCTTTGCATTTATTTTCTGAAGTCCTCAGAGAGCGTATCTTCTTATGTCTGACCTATTCAAAGACAGGTTTACAGTCTTCAGGAGGTACTGAATTCTATTAATTTGCTCATTTAACTGGAATATAAAGTTGCATTGTGGCAATGTTTTAAATCACAAAGGAGTTACAATGATGCATAAAAGGATACATAAATTCACTGAAAGATCTTCAAACATAAAAGAAGACTCCTCCAAATTAACTCCTCCTTTACTTTCTTTTATGTCCTCTCAAAAACAAAACAATACAAAATACCTAGCAGATTTGTAGACTTCATGCTTCTATTAGGTTTAAATATTTTCTATTGTTGGAGGAGAGAGTGGGCTCCTGTCTAACACTCGGAAATGAACTGTCTGAGGAGACACACGTGCTGACAAAGCAAGAACCATTATTGGGAAGGGGCGTGGGGGCGGAGAGCAGCGGGGTAAGGGAACCCAGGACTGCTCTGCCTCACGGCTGGCAGCCCCAGGTTTTACTGTAATGGGGTTAGTCTCCTGGTGGTCTCTGGGCAACGATTCTGATTCAGGGTCCTTCGTGGTGGCGTGTGCATTGCTCAGCCAAGATGGATTTCAGCAAGAAGGATTCTGGGAGGTTGGCAGGACATATTACAGTCTGGCATCTCTTCCCTCCTTTTGGCCCCTCCCAAATTCTTCCAGTTAGTTTTATAAGACATATTATGGGCAGGCATCTCCTCCTTTTTTGGCCTCTCCCAGATTCTCCCAGTTAGTTTTCATGCTTCTTATCGGGACCTCCTGTTGTGAGACAACTCGTTCAAGTGGTTATTGTCACGCCTGGTCAAGGTAGGTGGTTTTGGTCAATGGTTCCCTAACACTATGACAAAAGTATTTGAACTTTCTAGAAATAAGTTGGTAGATAAATACCAGAAGGCCAACACAAAATGCAATGGATGATGAAACCTCTCTATTCAGACAAAGTTAGGCTGTGGGAAGCACCAGGACAGACTGTGGCTGTCTATATGCCCTATATTGGTACAGAGAGTGGCTATTATCAGCGTGCTGCAATTTCATCAGAATTTTTAAACAAGTCGTTTTCCTCATAATTAAAAAGACACACTAAGAATCTGAATAATCATGCATCTGAAGTGTTAAAGCTTGTTAATTCTTTATGATATAAATGCTCATATCCTTTGTGTTTTGTGCAAAAGAACACAAGTAAAACTTACTTAACACAATGAGATGAGATGGATTCCCTTTTCCCATTTCCTCCTGGAACATCAATCTAGTAAAGACAAAAATCAAGGCAACAATTGTATTATTTCAGATTTTCATAAGATAAATTTAAGGTTAAGTAATTAGGAAATTTACAACTGAGGTTAACCAGTTTAGCTAGGTATTAAATCTACAAAACATACCATAGATGCTAAAAAGGTATGAAATCCAGAATTTGGGTTTTGAAAAAACTCCATAACTTGTGATGTAGCCCTCCTTGTAGAGCCAATCAATCTTCCTCTTATTTGCTGGAATAAGCACATCATGTCGTTCCCCCCTAACTGGGGCTCTCTATCTCATATCCCCTAAGTTGAAAACATCAGGTAAGGAGGGCTTAGCATAGAAACTAGGCATAGGTACTATCTAGACACTTAGCCAAAGTGTTGGTAGAATTCTGCAATATTTCCATGACCCCAAATAAAATCTTTTAACCAAACTTGTGATTCTGTCCATTTTCATAACCCTGGGCCATTTTTTCCCCTGCACTGTAAGCAGGGAAGGAAGAGAGGACTTAGCACTCAGTGAGCATCTAGTGGTGAGCATGTTATATAATACCTCATCTACAAGGCTGAGTAGAGCTAAGTTGTGATGAAGTATTTGACCGTAATGCACTAAGTCAGAAAACTAGTTAAAGCTTTGAGGTTTACATTAAATAAATCAGTGCCCTTCTTGATGAATTCCAAAAGTCTGAAGTTTTAAAACAACTTTTTAAACTTGCAGGCTTAGAAATAACACACCAATAATGTGGCAAATACAGTGTGACTGATTTCAGTGTGGTAACTGCTTTTTAAAGTACGGCTACACTGGGCAGAAGAAAAATGAGGAAGAGTGCTAAAACCAACATTATTCTTAATATTAACTTAAAGAATGTGGTTGGATTTCTCCAAAGAATCAGGGTATTTATATATCAGACAACTTATAAGACCCACATTTTGTAATTCCAGAGACTCAACCTCATTTATACTTGAAACATATAGGTTATCTGTTATGTCTGTTTGCTAAGCTTCTGGTGTAATTGAAAATCATTTGCTTCCCCTCCTCAAATAAGTGGTTAATGCTCAACTATTTAAGCTAGCTTTATTGATATTTTTCAGTATCAATAAGTTATATCAGCAACTGAGCCATTCTCTTCCCATTGATATAAATGCTCGCGTGGCAGTCTTATTTCATCTCTGTGTTTCTCAGCCACCCAGGCTTACACTCAGGGCTCTACCATAGGGTCTGCTTTCACCAGTTAGACTGTGAGGGTGTATAAAATTCTAACACTTTAATATAATATTTTCCAGTCAGATTTGAAACCATTAAGTGAAAAACCATTCCCTCCAATGAAAGTACTTTAGTATTGCAAATCTATTTTTTTAAGAAGAATCTTCTCATCTATTTGTCTATGGCTGTACTGGGTCTCTGTGCTGTGCGGGCCTCCTCCAGCTGCGGTGAGCAGGAGCTGCTCCCTGGCTGTGGGGCACGATCCTCACTGTGCTGGCTGCTTCTGCCGCAGGGCACCGGGCCTAGCACGTGGGCTCTGGAGCCTGGCCTTGGCAGTTCACCACATGGCTTAGTTGCCCCACGGCGTGTGAGATCTTTCCAGGCCAAGGGCTGAACCTTTGTCCTCTGCATTGCAAGGTGGACGCTTAACCACTGGACCATCAGGGAAATCCTATATATATATATATTTTAAAGATGGAAATAAATGGCAATGGAAAGAATGAAAGAAATCAATAACGAAATGCACTCCAAAGAAAAAGAAAAGTGGTACCATCACCTCAGAGAACAAACATTCCTATAGGACAATCCAGTATCACTTAATTCTTGTTTGCTGAATGTTTCAAAGGATTAACATATACCCTCAAGTGCTTATCAACCCTCCAAGAATAGCTGTGGACCTGCAGTAGCTTTTTACCTCAGGATTTCAGATAGCATTTAAGCATTAAGTTCTAATACTCCATAATATATTAATAATTAACCACTACCTAGTTGAACAAACCTTTATTTCTCAATTTTCAAATACTAAATGAATTAATAGAAGAGACAGAACCAGAAGCCAAGAATCTAGGCATCTGGTTATTTTTTTCAAGCTGTAAATTACAAGGAATCCATTGCATATATGACCGATTTCAACATGCACAACCTACTTACAATCACTTTGACGTAGTTGGCCGGAAATACACCAGTCTGGTTTCTACATTTCCCTCTGTACCAATCTGTATCTATTTTTTCCAGAAGATGAACAATTTCTCCAGAAGTGAGGCTCAAATCATCAGCTTGCTCTGTACAATAGAATTATAATGATGTGTGATCAATTACTCTGGTTGCAGAGCTGATTAAAGCAGAATACAACGTGGCATTCAGTTCTGTCCACCGAGGCAGTATGTTCTACTGATTCTGAGAACAGATTATACTAATTGAATCGACTTAAAAAAATTTTATTTTCCTGGATATTGCTATTATGAGTTTTCCCTTTTAAGATCAAATGAGATATATTTACCAGGCACTGATTGATAGGGAATGCTTGAAAAACACACACACACAAAACATTGTGCTTGCCAATGATTCTTCCTGTGCCGATATACACGTCTGCTGAATACATATTTTAATGATGAAACCATTTTATAGACACGGTATAATATTCATATGATTCTCAACCATGCTTAAAAATCATTTCAATCTCAAAATATTAAGGGAGTCCTACAGCTCTTTAGCATATAAATTTACTTACACCGAAATAAAAATCAGTCTACCAAGTGGACAAAAAAAAAGGTATAAATAAATCGGGAATTTATTTTATTTGAAGTCTTGGATATAAAAGGTATTTAAAAATTGATGACAAAAATGTATATTTTCATTTCATAAGTAATAGCTGAGCTATGTGTGTTGGTTTTACAACCCTTAGCAGAAAAGAACTTCACTTAGTAAATCTGAATTAATTTCATTATGTTGGGAAAGAGTTAAAAAGTTTCCAACTGGTAGGCAGTTTGCTATTTGTTCATGTGTAAGTGAAACACTCCTCCTCCTCTCTCTCTCTCACAGGGAGTATCAAAAGCAAGGGTATGCAGGTAAGCTTTCTGGCATGGCTGGGTGCAGTCAACTCTTCCTGAAGGTGGGGTGATGGATGAGATGACCTGTCCAGTCTAGGGCTCCATCAGTACAGAAAGTGAAGACAGATGTCCTTGAGAGGTTAACCTGGGGAGGATGCCGGATCCTGGATCCTAAGTTTCTACCGCTTTATCATCTCTGTCCTTACCTGCTGGGAAATCATGAAGGACGACAGCGTGGGGGGCACCAGTGTCAATAGGCTTCTGAGGGCAGCTCGGATCCTGAGGGAGCAAACAGAGCCGTGAATGGCGCGTGCATGATGCATGCTGGATTTATTATTCACTCGGAGACCTTTGTTTTTTTTTTCCCTCATTGAGGTCCTCTTGTCACAATTATATTATGAGTACAAGATGCAAACCACACAGCTGAGCCAAACAAGGGAAGCATGACCAAGTGGAAAAGGTGTGAGTCCCTGCCGGAGGAGAAGAGAAATGACTCTCAATTATGATATCCCCCCAGCACTTTTCTTAAACTGAGAGAGTAAACAAAAGGAAATTAAACTTAGGTTTTTGTTGGTTGTTTTTTGTCTTTTAAAGCAGTATCTATTCTACACTGGAGTAGTCATTTTTACTTCTTTACCTTTCAAGGATCGCTTTTTCCATAAACTGTGATCGGAACTAAACTTTAAGAACAAGACCTTAAAAGTATTCTCTTCATTAAGATGGAAAAAGAAGGAAGTTCTGCAATTTACACTCTTGCCTTTTGTAATGAAAAGAGCTAAAGACTTTTACAAAAGTATAATTCACAAAAAGTAAAATCCATTTCATTTATTACCATTTAACTGAATGCCTTCTCTAATTTGAAAGCCAATGCTACCTCTCATGCCTGGCCTGGATTTTCTATTTAATCTGAATGGTTTATTCAATAGTAATTTTAAGTAAATTAGCAAACAGAATTCAATATTCTCCACCCATCTAACCAGCTGCTTAGACTAGCCAGAGGAGAAGCCAAATTTGAAGAGTGACTGCTTCTTAATGACAGGCAGTTGTTATCCACCTCATCATCATCATCATCATCATCATCCAATCTGACTGATGGATATTATTTGGAATTATAACTTACTTTCTTTGATTTTTAAATGAAAGTGATTTTTTGTGCCTTTCTTGTCTCTTTCTTCCTTTAATGGCTCCTGCCCATCAGGGACTGCCCCTTTCCTGACCATGATGTTCAGCTGGTCAGACATCAGGGGTCGTGGTCCACCCCCTCCACATCCGCCCTGCAGCTCCTTTGCGCAACTCTTTTCTGAATCAACTGTAAGGCAGCTGCGGAGGCACGCTGCCTGCTCTCACATCAGCTGAACTTAATACAGGAAGGGCTAAGGCAGCCTGGTGTATTAGTTTACCAAAGCAACACCAACATTGTCTTAGAGGCTGCTTGGTGCTTTTCCTTAAATAAATGGGCATAATGGGAATTTCAGGGATTGCGGAAATGAACTATGAGATATGTTAAGCCTGGAGGGGCTTTAAAAATTACCCTTTACCCAATTTAGCATATGTGTAGTTTTCATTTTTTTCTCATTTACATTTGTAGACAAAGGGATGACTGCTCCAATAAATGGTGTTAGGCTAGATGACTTTACATCTGGAAAAAGTGAAGTCAGAGGCCTATCCCACACCAAACATAACCATGGACCTGCAGATGGACCAAGGCCCACACACCTGCAGATGGACCAAGGCCCACCCACAAAGAGGGTAGAAGGGGGACAGTGGGCAGCCGGTGCCCCTGCTCTCGTCTCCCTGCCTTCTGTGCACGGCTGTCCCTTTGATGCTGCTCCTCACCTTGGCCTGGCAGGTGAAGGGTGAGAGGGCAGGCGAAGGGCAAGAGGGCAGGCGAAGGGCGAGAGGGCAGGCGAAGGGCGAGAGGGCAGGCGAAGGGCGAGAGGGCAGGTGAAGGGCGAGAGGGCAGGCGAACGGGGCTGGCCACAGGGGTCGCCAACAACTCAGGGGCAGGAACACACCATTAGAGTGGACATCTGGGAGGGAAATCTAACATATTTCAAAGTTCTTTCTAGTATGACTATAATAGCTAATACTAATGAGTAATGAGAATAGTTAATATACACTGTTTGCCCACTATGCACTATTCACAATACTAAGCACCTTACAGATGCTAAATTACCTAAATTAATTAGCTCATTTAATTTTTTAAGGATCTTTGAGATATAAGGCACATGCCATAAAATTTAAGCATTTAAAGTGTACCTAATTTTAGCATATTCACAGAATTGTGCGACCACCACCACAATCTAACTTTAGGACGTATTTATCATCCCTCCAGAAGCCTCGCACCCATTGGCCATCACTCCCCCTCACCCTTCCCCCAGCCCTGGGCAACCACTAATCTACCTTCTGGATCTACCTATTCTGAACTTTCATATAAATGAAATCATAACAATAAATCAATTCTATCATCAACTCTGAGGATTCTCATATCTATTTCACACATTTTAAAAATGAGGTTCAGAGAGGTCAGATCACTGCCTCCGACGGTGGGAGGTCAACTGAGACCCACAGTGCAATCCCTTGCCTCCCTGCTCGGACAGCCCAGCCTTACCTCATAAGGTGCAACGTCTTCTGTTGACCAAGGCAGGGGAGAGTGTAACACAGTTTTAGAGATATTTACCTTCACACTAGGCTTTCAAGTAGGTTTTACTTTTCTGAAAAGGGTAATGTTAGCCATGACCCAGAGCCTACGAGGGGCCCCACTTAGGTTTCACCAGCTGTGGGCCATTGGTGGTCATGACTTCTGCAAGTCATCACAAGCATGAGTAAAGTAATGTTCCAAGTGACAAAACCATGAATGTTTATAAAAGAACAACTTGTAATTTTTTCAGCTTCTATTTTTCTATTTCTTTCTTTCAACTTCTATTTTCCTCTTCAGAAAGGAAAGCTTTCTGACAGTACAATCCCCATGGCTACCCATCAATGTTTCAAAAGAGAGGAAGCACAGTGGTGACAGATGGGTAATGCTGCCTCAAAGCAGAGAAATGAGTGACAGAAGAACTTTCCCCATGTGGACTGAAGTCAGAAATGTCAACATTCCAGCTGCAGCCAGCATAACACATATCTTCTCTGCTCTCCGAAATTTCAATCTTTAGTTTCTTAGCAAACCTCAAATGATAGACTGCCTTCCAAGAAGAACTGCATGAGATTATGAAAACTAGGATGAATGACAAACCAAACACTTTAACTTGGCTTAAATGACTGATAGGTCTCATTTTTCATGTTTGCTACATTACCTAACAGACAGTGAAAATTTTAACTGGATGCCCCAAGCAGCTCTTTAAAAAATATGCCTCTGTAAATTGTTCAATGGCATTTTTCTTGCTCAACAAATGATCTTCAATAATCATTGTATTCTCCTAGGCTCCACAGATTTGCTAGGCCTAAATAGTGACTTCAGAGTGTTGTAACATTTCATTTCATTATTTTATGAGCTATGATCAGAGAAACAAGGACTATACTCATCTTAAATCTTACAGGGAAGCTTTTTAATGTCAGCCTTTATAGGGCCCTCCTTAAAATAATTATCCATTCTGCTAGAAAACCAATGTCTAATACTTTGGTAAATGTATTTACATTATTTCAAAAGTAAATAGGTCTCACAGCTGAAAATTAATGACTGAGTGTCCTGGATGCTGCGAGTCAGCATGATACAAGGAAGGCAGACCACACGGTAGTCACTCTGTATCAAAGTGATTAGTGTGGCAGCGGCAAGTCTCTTAGAAGTAATTTATTCTTAAAATGGAATAAAACGCTACTGTAATTTTTACTCTGGTTAAAATAAACGTGCTAATAAAAACCTGAGGATGAGCTATAATTAATAGTTCTATGAAATGTGCTTCCATGTGTGATATGAGGATGGTACAGTATTAATTCCTCACGTTTGGTCTGCTGCTAAGATGTTCGTCAAGTGGCGTGATGATCTTCATCTGAGACAGGTGAACTCTGCCGGCATCATCTCCCTTCCGGCACTCCAAGTAATTACCTTCTGCCTGCTTCAGTATCACCAGGACGTCCCCACGCTGTAAGGTAAAATACCGCTCTCTGAAGCAATTATTATTTAATAAAACATTATTACTTTTTCCACATTTTAATCTTTGGAGCCTAAAGCATTTAATAATGTGTAAAACAGTAACAGAGGCCAGCAAATTTTTTAAAAAATTTGTCAGTAAAGAAGGAGCTCTACTTTACCTTACAAGAAAGTTCTCCAGGGTTTTGTGGGATGACATCTTCATTGGCAATTCCATGAGGCACAGACATCTTGAACATAAACCAATATAAAGGATTATTCATAATCAAATAACTGCATCCTAAAAGGCCGATCATGTGGGGATTTGGCACACGCGCCTGAAGCATAACTTCCCTCGGGTAAACTCATCACCCAGCTTCCTCAAGCTCAGGATCGAGTTGGTGGGGCTGCTGCCTCTCAGGACACGCAGAGTCCTTGGGGGCCTGGGGCTGAGCCCACAGGACTCGGGGGCTGAAGGGGCCTAAGGTCCCCTTTCACAGTCACAACCGGGAAGGTCCACTCCACCAGGTTCCCAGAGCGTCATAAGGGCGAGTGCCCGGCACTGACCTCACAGCCTGCAGTTCAGCGGGGCTGACGGGGGACTGGTGTGTCCCGTGTGGGGCTGGACAGGCTGCTTCTACCTGCCTTCAGTCTCTTTCCCTGCAGTCTCTCTGGTGCCGCTGCCTGACCTCAGTCATTCCTGGTCACTCAGCCTTGTCTGATCTGAGAATGGCTCTTAGGTCTGTAGCCTCCTCTGGCCAGAGGACTCTGCCCCCTGCCTTGGTAAATTCTGGCTGATAAACACGGGTCACAGGGCTGTGGAGTACAAAAGGCGTACCCAGGAGATGTGACCACACAAGCTCATGTAGAACAAGAAAGGGAGGCTGCCCTCGGGAGCAAAGACACAGCACAAGGGTGCAGGCCTAGGAGGCGGGGAGGATGGGGTGGCTTCCAGAAGCTGTGTCAGGGCGTCAGGGTGCCAGAGTGGCCCTGGGGGGCAATTTAATGGTGGGGCACCCACAGGAAAGATGAGGGGTTTAAGGAGTTTTTTTGTAAAGAGACATACTCCTCTAATCTATCATCATTTTGATTTATTAATTTCTTTACTTTTCTGGCCTGGAGAATCCCATGGACTGTGTCCATGGGGTCGCAAAGAATTGGACACGACTGAGAGACTTTCACTTTCACTTCACTTTTAAGTTATTCAAATGCTTTATTGACATTATACAGCTAGGCTAAGACCTATAAGCAAAATCTGATACCCCCAATGAGGCTCTTAACATGGAACAGGCAATATAATTAGAGACTTTACAATTAGTAACATGATTTTCTTTCTCTTTTTTTGGCTGCACAGGCTGGGCTTTGTGAGAGCTTAGTTCCCAGACCAGGGATTGAAACCACGCCCCTTGCAGTGGAAGCATGTATTCCTAACACTAGACACCAGGGAAGTCCTGTAACACTATTTCCTTAGTATGGCTTAATGGTAAACAGCATGGGCTTAGACCCAGTCAATCTGTGTTCCAATCTTGGCTCCACCATTACTGGCTTTGTGATCCCGGACAGGCTATTTAATCTCTCTTGAGTATTATTTTCTTCATCTGCCTAACAGAAATAATAATAGTATCCACTTCACAGGGTTGATGTGAGGAACAAATAGTTATTTAATATATATAAAGTGCTTCAAACAATGCCTGACTCATGAGTACTCAACACATCGGCTGCTGCTTTTATTATTTTTAAGTAAGCTATACAAATTAAAATTTTATCAGTTTAAATGATTATGAATATATATGAATATCATACCTCCTTCTAATCTGTCTATATCATTCCCTTAAGAAGAGGGAAAAAAAATCCTAAATGGTTTAAAATGAAAACAATTTCCAGCTCAGTGATGGAACTGTAGAACAATATGAAATGAATAAATGCTGTTCTTGTTAAGAGCTACTGTTGTACAATTGTTTAAAAAGTGCCAACACTCCAGCTCCTTATCATTTTAATTTGCTCTAGATTTCATCAGGTTAACCTGACCAAAGTAGAGAGAACACATCAACTCTAAAGACAAAGGCTTAAGGTCACAGGATAAGAAAAACATTCAAAGAGAACAAATTTAATATCTCAACTATCTTGATTATTGATGAAAACTTCTAACTAGTAACTATTAAATGGACCATGATAATCAGGTTTAAAAAAGTGGAAAATGAGGGAAAAACCATTTTAATAAAAACTTTCTTTCCACTTCACTTCAAATTTTACTCTGTGGGCAAGGAAGATATAAGATATAAACTATACTGAGATGTGAATATAATATCTGTCAGGTACTCTCATCAGTATAACCTACTGGATCAGGTTCTTCAGAATTTCTGTTTGGTCAAGCCAGACAGCAGACTGCAATCCCTGCTGCCCTGCTTCCTTTTCCTATGTTTCTAATAATGAAACTGTGCTTTAAAGACTTAGGTTTTTATCACAGCCTACTTGTCTAAAACACCCTAGCATCAAGGGGCAATTACACATCTGTCTCACCAACTTTTTCTAAGGAACAGGGGTCTTATATATACTTTAGGACAAACCTCTGGACCAGAAACATTTTTAAAAGCTACATTTACCATGTACTTCCTGTAGAGAGGGTGTCCTGGTTTGGGACGCGGGGGCAGTACTGGATCTTGATTTTTAAAGACTTGACTCTTGGCTTTTGAGAGTCCAGGTGCCAAGTTACTTGTTTTTTTCTGAAGATCCATGTCAGAAGAAGACCGATTAAAAGGCAGCTTTTTATTTGATGTTCTGGTTGCTGGAAGTTTAGGGGGAGGTGGTCTCTCAGGGGCCCCCTTGGGAGGAGGCTGTCGAGCTGGTATGACTTTTCCATTTATAGGCCTGGAATTCAATGTGGCAGCTGTGAGTCAGGATTTGATCGATGGTAGGTTCTGCTTTGTCCTTTCTTACACACACACACACACACACACACACACACACACACACACACACAGGGCTTTCTGCTAATGTAATACCATTTACTAAAACATGTTGGGTATGCTATTTTTCAGCAAATGACTGCTGCATTAAACATTATATTATTAGAAGAAATGCCATGATGTTCCAGCTTCCTCTTATCTTGCACTAGAGATTCATTAGTTCAAGACAAACAAGTATTTACTATCATGAGCTCTCTAAGGCCCCATTTGCTCTTAAACACACCATGACTGTTTCAGAAAACTAAGCACTTTCTACCAAAGCCTGAGATGAAAAGCTTATAATAAGATATCATGTAGATGTGATGGGGTCTTCTAGATGATCAGGAAGGGAAAAACAAACTCTAATGTTCATGTTCTAGGAATTATTACTAAAACTCTAATTTAGATTAAAAGAAAGCTAGTTCTGAAAACAGGATAGCAACACCAACCAATGGACTTTTATAAAAAATGGAGTTTTATAATAATAATAATAATAATGAAATAATAAAATTTTATAAACAAATTTTATAAACAGTGGAGTTTGAGCAAACTCTAGGAGATGGTGAAGGACAGGGGGGCCTGGCATGCTGCAGTCCATGGGGTCACAAAGAGTCAGACACAACTTAGCAACTGAACAACAACAATATAGATTCGTGTGTGTGCTCTGTGAGTTTTTAGATTATGTTAAACAAGAAACAGAGATTCCTACAACCTGCTGTCAGAAACAGACTGTGGGCCTGGGTAAATTTGTGAGTTATTTCTAAAAAAGATAGAAGGCCAACAACACAGAAAAGAAAGTCTGGTCTCGGAGTCATTAGATTTTCTTTAACTGACTTTTTAGAGGTTTTCCCACGCTTACCTACCTGGGTGGCAACCTTGGGGGTCCTCGCACAAAACCTCCTGATTGACCAGCAATGTCAGATTCCTGAAAGAATCAGAGAATGGTTTTTAGTTAAGGTTAATCTGAAACAAGGCTTGTCAAGAGGAATTATGGACAAATTTTTGGCTAGATCTATAAGTGGAAAAGTAGCTGAGTTACAGAAAGGAGATTAGAAGAGTTTTCTCATCTTGGTCCTCACTGTCCATGTCACAGTGCAACTGAGAACAGAGAGGCAGAGGCGGGGGGTCTGCTGCTGCGGACCATGGCCCACCCGAAGGCACTGGTGACTGCACACCCAGCATGTTCTAAGGGATTAAGGATGATGCTTAACTCACGATAGGTTACAAAGTACCAATTTAAGCAGGCACTGTAGGGAATTTTTTTAAAATATGGCATTTATTTATCCCATGACAATACTTAAGATATGCAGTGCTCCTAAGTTTAAACATATAGTAAGTGAGGTGGTTGATTAGTGTGTTTTACCTAGAACAGCCAAATCTCTCATACTGGCTGGTTTCCACCTTGTGTGGTGGGTTTTGAACTGGAAGGAAGTGGGAACATAACAGAAATTTAAGGAGTGGCCTGAAAGGAGAGCATGTGAGAAGAACAGAGAAGGCTGGAGAAAGCAGAGAGCTTATACCACAAGAATCCCTTGGAAGAAACGGAGCAGCCATCATGGTCAACAGAAGAGTCTGAAATGCAGTACTTGGACAAAATCTCAAAAATGACAGAATGATCTCTGTTTGTTTCCAAGGCAAAGCATTCAATATCACAGTAATCCAAGGCTATGCCCCCAAACAATAATGCTAAAGAAGCTGAAGTTGAATGGTTCTATGAAGACTTACAAGACCTTCTAGAACTAACACCCAAAAATGATGTCCTTTTCGTTATAGGGGACCGGAATGCAAAGTAGAAAGTCAACAGATACCTGGAGTAACAGGCAAATTTGGCCTGAGTACAGAATAAAGCAGGGCAAAGGCTAATAGAATTTTGCCAAGAGAACGCACTGGTCACAACAAATACCCTCTTCCAACAACACAGGAGAAGACTCTACCCATAGACACCACCAGATGGTCAATACCAAAATCAGATTGATTATATTCTTTGCAGCCAAAGATGGAGAAGCTCTATATAGTCAGCAAAAACAAGACCAGGAGCTGACTGAGCTCAGATCATAAACTCCTTACTGCCAAATTCAGACTTAAATTGAAGAAAGCAGGGAAAACCACTAGACCACTCAGGTATGACCTAAGTCAAATCCCTTATGATTATACAGTGGAAGTGGGAAATAGATTCAAGGGACTAGATCTGATAGACAGAGTGCCTGATGAACTATGGACGGAGGTTCGTGACATTGTACAGGAGACAGGGATCAAGGCCATCCCCAAGAAAAAGAAGTGCAAAAGGCAAAATGGCTGTCTGAGGAGGCCTTACAAATAGCTGAGAAAAGAAGAAAAGCGAAAGGCAAAGGAGAAAAGGAAAGACATTCCCATTTGAATGCAGAGTTCCAAAGAACAACAAGGAGGTTAAGAAAGCCTTCCTCAGTGATCAGTGCAAAAAAATAGAGGAAAACAACAAAATGGGAAAGACTAGAGACCTCCTCAAGAAAATTAGAGATACCAAGGGAACATTTCATGAGCACAATGAAGAAGAGAAATGGTATGGACCTAAAAGAAGCAGAAGATATTAAGAAGAGGTGGCAAGAATACACAGAAGAACTATAGAAAACAGATCTCCATGACCCAGATAACCACAATGGTGTGATTACTCACCTAGAGTCAGATATCGTGGAATGTGAAGTGAAGTGCACCTTAGGAAGCATCACAAAGAACAAAGCTAGTGGAGGTGATGGAATTCCAGTTGAGCTATTTCAAATCCTAAAAGATGATGCTGTGAAAGTGTTGCACTCAATATGCCAGCAAAATTGGAAAACCCAGCAGTGGCCACAGGACTGGAAAAGGTCAGTTTTCATTCCAATCCCAAAGAAAGGCAATGCCAAAGAATGCTCAAACTACTGCACAATTGCACTCATCTCACACACTAGTAAAGTAATGCTCAAAATTCTCCAAGCCAGGCTTTAACAGTACGTGAACAGTGAACTTTCAGATGTTCAAGCTGGATTTAGAAAAGGCAGAGGAACCAGAGATCAAATTGCCAACATCCGTTGGATCATCGAAAGAGCCAAAGAGTTCCAGAAAAACATCTATTTCTGCTTTACTGACTATGCCAAAGCCTTTGACTGTGTGGATCAACAAACAAACCGTGGAAAATCCTTAAAGAGATGGGAATACCAGACCACCTGACCTCCTGAGAAACCTGTATGCAGGTCAAGAAGCAACAGTTAGAACTGGACAGTTAGAACAACAGACTGGTTCCAAATCGGGAAAGGAGTACGTCAAGGCTGTATATTGTCACTCTGCTTATTTAACTTATATACAGAGTACATCATGAGAAACGCTGGGCTGGATGAAGCACAAGCTGGAATCCAGATTGCTGGGAGAAATATCAATAACTTCAGATATGCAGATGACACCACCCTTATGGCAGAAAGGGAAGAAGAACTAAAGAGCCCCTTGATGAAAGTGAAAGAGGAGTGAAAAAGTTGGCTTAAAGGTCAACATTCAGAAAACTAAGATCATGGCATGTGGTCCCATCACTTCTCGGCAAATAGATGGGGAAACAATGGAAACAGTGACAGACTTTATTTTTGGGGGCTCTAATATCACTGCAAATGGTGACTGCAGCCATGAAATTAAAAGACGCTTGCTCCTTGGAAGAAAAGTTATGGCCAACCTAGACACCATATTAAAAAGCAGAGACATTACTTTGCCAACAAAGGTCTGTCTAGTCAAGGCTATGGTTTTTCCAGTAGTCATGTATGGATGGGAGAGTTGGACTATAAAGAAAGCTGAGCACTGAAGAACTGATGCTTTTTAATTGTGGTGTTGGAGGAGACTTGAGAGTCCCTTGGACTGCAAGGAGGTCCAACCAGTCCATCCTAAAGGAAATCAGTTCTGAATATTCATTGGAAGGACTGACCGTAAAGCTGAAACTCCAATACTTTGGCCACCTCAGGCAAAGAACTGACTCGTTTGAAATGACCCTGATGCTGGGAAAGATTGAAGGCAGGAGGAGATGGGGATGACAGAGGATGAGATGGTTGGATGACATCACCAGAAGTTGGTGATGGACAGTGAAGCCTGGTGTGCTGCAGTCCATAGGGTCATAAAGAGTTGGACACAACTGAGCAACTGAACTGAACTGAACTATACATCTAGAGCAAAGGGTTTGGATGTGCTGAGAAGATTTTTGGAGGAAAGAGCAAAGGGAGGTGGTGTGAAAAACAAGAGAGGGAGAGTTGGAATCTTTGGTCTGAAGGTAGATGAGAGAAATTGAAAGTGTGAAGATCAACAGGAAGGCTTCTCTAGGAGAAGGGGTTCAAACTGTGATAATTAAATAAGTTTTCTGAACATGTTATTGCCCAGGGATTGGGTAATGAATATAAAACATGGAAAATTTTTTCAGATCATCTGTTGAATGAGAAGTTAGAGGCTCTTAATGCCAAGACTTCTATTCTTTATTTTAAGGGAAAAGTCCACACTAAATTCTTCTAATTCTAACTGAGTCTTTTTTTCAACTTTCCTACTTTCTAAGCCCTGACCACTGACATCCAGGAAATAATATTTTTCCAAGACCACCAGAGGGGAGGGGAATGCTAGGTCTTTAAAATGACATTCCTTTTTTGTTTTTTGTAAAGGTGATATAGCTACAGATTGATAATCTTTGGGCTAATTTGGTCTCTTTTCCCCCTTCTTATCTTACAAATGAGTTAAAACTCACTTCTGTGGTTTGTAATTCACACTGAATATTTACAACTTTCCCTTAAATACCAAATGATTAATTGCTAATAACTGCGATCATCTGAATATGTTTCAATGTTTTATAATCCCATTTTAAAAAACAAATTAAGCTTGCCCTTAAAACTTGGTTTCACTAATGAGTTCAGTTAATGTAGTGAGACAAGTCACCAGCTCATAAACCCTGCAATATTACAGACCATCATCCATGCCTTATAAATACACTGCTGCCTATATGCCTCCCAACAAATCCTGCTATGATACCTGAAAAACTCATTTACTTTTTTGGCCACCTTTAAAATTGAAACAAAGAGAAAAACACTCCAGCAGATAGGTAGGAACTCATATACTTTTTCTTCAAAATTACTTAATAACTAAGGGCAGATTAGAAAAAGATGTATAAATTTGACATGGATGATGTACTTTAATAAAGACATACCACACAATCCTAATCTTCTACCAAATATTAGCTGCAGTTTTCTCTGGGTGGTTTACATATCTTTATGGGGGATCTTAAATATCTTTTTAATTTCTCAATTTTGAATTATGAGCAAAAATAAATCAGAAAAAAAAGGCAGTATACTCGAATCTTCCAGGACTGTTAGGCACATTCGAAAAGGCACTGCTGCACTGGACAGACTTCACATACTGAGAGGAGGGGCTTGGTTCTTGCAGGAGCCATGGTCTCAGTGTCTGGTCAAGTTCAGGTTTGCGCACAGCTTCTGCTAACAGTCTTTGGAAGATTACTGATTAGGGATTTCCTGTTTTTCAATATTCCACACATGCATGGAGCTTCTCTGTACTTGCCTTGTGCAGTTTTTCTCTAGCTCTGACATCCCTGAACTATGACTTTTGATGTGTTTGGGTAAGCATTTTAGTTCTGGGTGAAGTTGGCTTTTCTGTTTGTACTGCCCTGCAGATGCCATCTTTTTGTTCATCTTCCTTGAGATGGTTTCTTATGTTCAATTTAAAAATAATTTCAGCCCCCTCCCCTCTTTCTTGCTGTATTTTCAAAAGACAGACATCTCTTCCAAAACCACATTCCTGTTTGCTGGAATCACTGAGCAGCCTCTGCAGATGTGCCTCCTCTTCCTTCTCCAGGCACTGATTCCACTTCTCACGTCCTGAATTCATCAGAGATCTCCTGGGCTGCAGCTGAGACGCCTTCCACCTTCTGGGCCACGTCCCCCAACTCTCTCCCTGCGCTGGTTGGCAGAAGCCCTGGATTTCCACAGAACAGTCTGCTCCCACTGACAGAATGGCACCATTGCCTCCTGATGTTCCTCACCCTGGAGTCCTTTATCGTTTAAGTGAGGACTGAGATTTTGCTCATCTTGACAGCCATCTTGTCATGAGACGGAAGATTCCCTGGCTCTTAAGGCAGGAGAAGCAATAGAGGGTCTTTGCTCTGCGCCTCATCCGAAGACTCACCTGTCAGAGACCCTCTCTGCATGGGTCATCACACTGGCGAAACATTCTTTCCATCTTTCCCCACACCTGAAGACTTTCTGGCCTCTGGTCGAAAATCCACTCAGTAATTGTAATTCTTAAAACAATAGGAGTTTCTCAGTCATAGATTTCTGGCCCTGGAAATCCATGTGCGTGCAGCCAAATCACTTAACCTGGGATCTCTTTCTTGTCTCTTCTTCCCTCAGACCCAGTGTGTCTGCTATGCGCGCATTCATCACAGCACAGCTCAGGGGGCTCTGAGCTCCCCACCCTGTAAACACTGCAGGATGAGATTTCTGCCACGCTGTTCATGCGAGGTAGAAACAGTTATGAATAAAGTTCCCTCTCCAGATGGTTCCGTTATTCTAACTTCCTTTTCTTTCTTCTTTTTTTTCTATGTTGGAGTTGCTTTGTGGATTGCTTAACACCAAATGGAATAATACTTAACATTTTAATGGTTGACAAAGCCCATGACTCAATGAATGCTAAGTATGTCTACCCGTCACACTCTCACTCCAGTCTACAGCCCTTCACAGTAGAGGCTGGGAGCCTTCCCCAGTAGCTTGCTCTCCATGGGAATACGGGACTCCCCCATTCGACAACTCTATGGCAGGGTCTCTGTCATCCTCTTTTGGGTTTCCTTGGCCCAGTTTTAATGAAAACTTATTACCGAGTACTTTGAAATGCAAGTGGTCACTAAATTTTAATTCAGCCTACAGGAAAATCTCATTAACTTGATATCAGCTAATTCAATTTAATGGATCCATCAAAGAAATTTCTCTTCACTAGATGATTAGATCAGTTTGCATGTATAATAAGCATAGTTAATTCACAATGTAAAACTATTATGAAATTTGAACAGAAAATTTGGCTGTAAGACTTTAAGAACTGGTTTCTTTTGAAACAAACTGTAAAGATAACCTAGGAATTTCAAAAAGTATGGGAAAATGGTATTGAAGTTGGAATTTTTAAAAAAATGTGTATATATCTAAAACTTTTGACCACCATCTGTTAACAAGCACATGCTAAAGCACTAATTTTAAATTTAAAAAATAATTTTCGCCTAAATTTCAGATGAACAAATTCTCACGATTATCTTAAAATTATGTGATTCATTCAGTATTTCAAATATAATCTGATCAATGAACTAAATCTGTTTTCACAAAAATTAAAAGTTTGTAGAGATTTTTAATAACTTCCTCATCATCAGTGCTATTTAAAAGATAATGCTGGGACTCTCAGGGTGATCTGAGTTTGCCTGCCAATGCAGAGGACAGAGGTTCCTTCCCTGGTCCCGGAGGATCCCACATGCTATGGAGCTACTCAGCCTGTGCACTCTAGAGCCCAGGCTCTACAAATAAGAGAAGCCACTGCAAGGAGAAACCCATGCATCACAACAAAGACTCAGTGCAACCAAAAATGTAAAAAATAAAAAAAATTTTTAAAAGACAATATACTGCTGCTAAGTCACTTTAGTCGTGTCTGACTCTGTGAGACCCCATCCCTGGGATTCTCCAGGCAAGAACACTGGAGTGGGTTGCCATTTCCTTTTCCAATGCATAAAAGTGAAAAGTGAAAGTGAAGTCGCTCAGTCATGTCCGACTCTTTGGACCCCATGGACTGCAGCCTACCAGGCTCCTCCGTCCATGGGATTTTCCAGGCAAGAGTACTGGAGTGGGGTGCCATTGCCTTCTCCGGACAATATACTGGTATAGGGCAAATTATTTTATAATGAAGTACAATGAATTAGCCTAAGTCTTTTATCCTATATGAATTTTAAAAATATTAAATAAGTACATGGAGCTTAGAAAATGGTTTGTAATAAAGGTTTTATCTGACCAATAGTAAAATAATTTAGACATCAGCTGAGTACTTAAAATTAGTGCGTAGCTTAGGACAACCTATAATGACCACTTACCAAGTTTCTAGTTCTGTCAACATTACCAAGCTTTCCAGATACTGTGCTAAAGGTGTTTCCAATAGGTTTTTCAGTAGGGAGAGGAGGTGGGCTTTGTGGATCCTCTTCATGTAAACCTGGAAAAATAGAAATAATTAATCAGTAATTTTTAGTCTTCGAGGGTTTCACAGGATGAAAAGACTGCAGCTTACTTCCTTAGGAAAATGTCTATACACAAAAGAATAGATAGCTAAGCAAATGAGAAAGATCTCCTGGCAAATCTCAGAAAATCGATGGGTTAGCAGCCATCAGTTAATTTTACCAAATGTTTTATCAAGAGTAAAAATGATACTAAATAATTACAACAGTAAGCCAGCATTTGTTGGAACCTTCTATGGACCAGGCATTAAGTTAAGGCACTTTATTCATATGCATTTCTCTAACCAACATCTATCTAAGTGCTAGATCTGTTGAGTCCACTAGCTAGTAGCCACATATGGCAGTTTGAACTTAAATCTTAATTAAAATTAAATAAAAAGTTCAGTCCCACAGTTGCACGGACCACACTGTAAGTTCTCCGTAGCCACATATGGTTACTGGCTACCATATTAGACCGCACTATGCTAGATATTGTTGCATCCATTTTACCGATGAAGAAACTGAAGCTGAGAAGAAAACAAATGAACTATCCAGGTCTTGCTTCAACAACACATGAACAGAGAACTTCCAGATGTACAAGCTGAATTTAGAAAAGGCAGAGGAACCAGAGATCAATTTTCCAATATAAGCTAAATCATAGAAAAGAGCAAGGGAATTCCAGAGAAAATCTGCTTCATTGACTATGCTAAAGCCTTTGACCGTGTGGATCACAACAAACTGTGGAAAATTCTTAAAGAGATGGGAATACCAGACTACCTGTGAAACCTGTATGCAGGACAAGAAGCAACAGTTAGAACCAGACATGAAACGAAGGACTGGTTCAAAATTGGGAAAGGAGTACGTCAAAGCTGTATATTGTTACCCTGCTTATTTAACTTATATGCTGGGTACATCATGTGAAATGCTGGGCTAGATGAATCACAAGCTGGAATCAAGATTACCAGGAGAAATATCAACAACCTCAGATATAGAGATGATATCACCCTAAGGGCAGAAAGTGAAGAGGAGCTAAAGAGCCTCTTGATGAAAGGGAAAAAGGAGAGTGAAAAAACTAGTTTAAAACTCAACATTCAAAACACTAACTTCACAGCTTCTGGTCATTACTTCACGGCAAATAGATGGGGAAAAAATGGAAACAATGACAGATTTTATTTTCTTTGGATCCAAAATGACTATGGATGGTGACTGCAGCCATGAAATTAAAAGACAGCTGCTCCTTGGAAGAAAAGCTATGACAAAGCTAGACAGTGTATTAAAAAGCAGAAGCATCACTTTGTTGACAAAGGTCTGTATAGTCAAAGCTGTGGTTTTTCCAGTGGTCATGTATGGATGTGAGAGTTGGACCATAAAGAAGACTGAGTGCTGAAGAACTGATGCTTTTGAATTGTGGTGCTGGAGAAGACTCTTGAGAGTCCGTTGGACAGCAAGGAGATCAAACCAGTCAATCCTAAAGGAAATCAAACTTGAATATTCAATGAAAGTACTGATGCTGAAGCTCCAATACTTTGGGCACCTGATACGAAGAGTCAACTCATTGGAAAAGACCCTGCTGTTGGGAAAGATGGAAGGCAAGAGGAAAAGGGGGTGACAGAGAATGAGATATGGCATCACTGGCTCAATGGACAAGAGTTAGAGCAAACTCCGGGAGATGGTAAAGGACAGGAAAGTCTGGCATGCTGCAATCCATGAGGTAGCAAAGAGTTGGACATGACTTAGCAACTGAACAACAAAAACATCCAGGTCTTGATGCTAGTAAGAGTCAGACTACAGCTTTGAATCCAAAAGTCTATTTTCATTGTAATAAGCCTTGCTGCTTCCTAATAGGTGGTGTGACCAACCCTCCCCCAATCCAAATAATTAAATGTGCTTTCCAATTCATCAGCTCCAGATTAATGGGCTTAATTGCTCTCATTTCCACATGCAATATCGTTACATCCAAATTATATCCTTAACCCAGAAATAGTGTACCAACTTATTATAAAAAGAAGAAAACAAAGATGACCAGGTTTAATTTGTGATAGCTAATTAAAAGCTGTGTGCAAAATACTTGGAGAGAGGATGATGGTAACATATAAAGGAGGCTGAAGCCACCTTTTACTGGTTAAGGCATTTAAAGGAGATGGGAATTTTTCTCATTCAAATGAACACTCTCTGCTTCCATTTCACATGAAAAACTTATAACAAGAGGATGAGTTCCTGTTTTATTCACAGACAGGGAAACACTCTCAAAGGAGGGAAGTGCCTAGGCCAGCTACTAGGAAAACAAGGATCCAGATACAGGCAAGCTTTCTTAGTGAGAGGCGGGGCTGCCACACAGAGACCGTCCAACTCCACTGCCACCCTGAAGACTCTCTCTGTGTTGTAGTTTCCTTATTCTTACGCAGAAATGATGAATCACTTAGGATATATTGTCATGACAAAAAACTGAAGGGTACAATGTAGTAAGAATATGAAAGTAGAGAGGAGATAGCTTCCTGGAAGGAAGGGACATAGTAATTATCTGATGTGGGTACGTGGGGGAGGTGGAGATTTTCGATTTCAAATAATGTGGTCAGCGGAGGCCTCAATGAGAAAAGTGCCATTTGAGCAACAACCTGAAAGAACAGTGAAGAAGGAAGCTATGCAGATATCTGGGAAAAGGACATCTGAGTCAGAAGAAACAGATCTCCAGGGGAAGAAGCTGATAGGTACAGAGGAAGGAGTTTTGTACCACAAAGCTGTTTGTTTCTTTTCTTATGCATTCCAAGTTCTTCAGACACCAAGTCTTATTTATTTTTCCTCTATAGCATATATGCATTGCTTAATAATTGTAATAATAAAATTTTAGGGGACTGATTTTTTCTTTTTTGGCTGTGCCTTGTCATGTAAGATCTTAGTTCCCCTACCGGGGATCAAACCAGTGTCCCTTGAAGTGGTAGCACAGAGTCTTAACCCTTGGACCACCAGGAAAGTCCCTGGGGAATTAGTTTTTATATAAATAGAAATAATTCTCTAGGAACTAGCCCTTCAGTTCTCTTACATATAGCAGTACAGAACTCAGCTTTCTAATAGCTCCTGGAGCTTTGTCAGGGTAATAAATAAAGGTGCTTCTTCAATATGTCTTTTTCAGGATTTCAGGACTATTAATTCGACTTATCAGTGTATAGGAAAGAATAAATACTGCAGGAGTGAGTTACAAGGCTGGCCCTTGATGGCCTAGAAAGCTGGATTTTGGGAAGGTTCCCACCATTTCCAGAACAGATAAAACAAAAGAATATGGTTTATGCTGAACACCTGCTTTCCTTCTGGGAATCTGGAATTTTGGTACATAACAAAATTTCTAGAGGTGCCCATGTAAACAGCCCCCAACAAAACCCCTGGGTACTGAGTCTCTAATGAGCTTCCGTGATTGACATTTCACAGCTGAGGAGACTGAGGAACATCCTGTGCAACCCAACTAGGAGAGGACTCCCAGAAGCTTGTGCCTGGCTTCCTCCAGACTTTGCCCCATGAACCGTTTCCCTCTGCAGATTTTGCCTCTGATAAATCACAGCTGGAAACACAACTGTATGCTAAATTCTGTGAGTCCTCCAAGCAAATCACCAAACATGGGGGTTTTGGGGACCCTGATACAACAGGAGAATACATTGCAATGTACAAGTTATATTCCTTGAAGCCACATAAGCTTTGGGCAATATTTATTATCATTATATCTCACACAGCTTATTAAAATCCCAAACACGTTATAATAAGGTAACAGCAAGCAAGCAGACAACCCAATGAGCTGTCATGTGGGCTATATCTATGGGTTATATCATGCTGTCAAAAGAAACACATGACCAGTTCTTTAGTCTAACACTACTATATAACTTCCTATGAAGCTTCAACAGTACGTGAACCGTGAACTTCTAGATGTTCAAGCTGAATTTAGAAAAGGCAGAGGAACCAGGGTTCAAATGGCCAACATCCTCCGGATCATCGAAAAAGCAAAAGAGTTCCAGAAAAACATCTATTTTTGTTTTATTGACCATGCCAAAGCCTTTGACTGTGTGGATCAACAAACAAACTGTGGAAAATTCTTAAAGAGATGGGAATACCAGACCACCTGACCTGCCTCCTGAGAAATCTGTATGCAGGTCAAGAAGCAACAGTTAAAATTGGACATGGAACAACAGACTGGTTCAAAACTGGGAAAGGAGTACATCAAGGCTGTATATTGTCACTCTGCTTATTTAACTTATATGCAGAGTACATCATGAGAAACGCTGGGCTGGATGAAGCACAAGCTGGAATCAAGAGTGCCGAGAGAAATATCAATAACCTCAGATACGCAGACAACACCACTCTTATGACAGAAAGCATAGAAGAACTAAAGAGCCTCTTGATGAAAGTGAAAGGGGAGAGTAAAAAAGTTGGCATAAAGCTCAACATTCAGAAAACTAAGATCATGGCATCCGGTCCCATCACTTCATGGCAAATAGATGGGGAGACAGTGGAAACCGTGACAGACTTTATTTTGGGGGCTCCAAAATCACTGCAGATGGTGACTGCAGCCATGAAATTAAAAGACGCTTACTCCTTGGAAGAAAAGTTATGACCAACCTAGACAGTATATTAAAAAGCAGAGACATTACTTTGCCAACAAAGGTCTGTCTAGTCAAGGCTATGGTTTTTCCAGTAGTCATGTATGGATGTGAGAGTTGGACTATAAAGAAAGCTGAGTGCCGAAGAATTGATGCTTTTGAACTATGTTGTTGAGGAGACTCTTGAGAGTCCCTTGGACTGCAAGGAGACCCAACCAGTCAATCTGAAAGGAAATCAGTCCTGAATATTCATTGGAAGGACTGATGCTGAAGCTGAAACTCCAACACTTTGACCACCTGATGTGAAGACTGACTCATTGGAAAAGACCCTGATGCTGGGAAAGATAGAAGGTGGGAGGAGAAGGGGATGACAGAGGATGAGATGGTTGGATGGCATCACCGACGCGATGGACACGAGTTTGAGTAAACTTAGGGAGTTGGGGATGGACAGGAAGGCCTGGCGTGCTGCAGTCCATGAGGTCACAAAGAGTCGGACATGACTGAGCGGCTGGACTGAGTGAAGTGAAAAGCCGTTAGATTTTGGTACTGTTGACTTTCTCTCCTCATTTTTCAGGGCAACTCTGTTCAATCTTCTCACTGCATGGATTGGAGCCATTCGTTAATAAAACCATCAAGAGACTAAAGCCAGTATGATGTTTCTAGGCAGTGTTTTACAGAGAGAGAGGTCCAACCCTAAACTAAAGGGTCTCATGGCGTTGCAGGGCACGTGCCGCCTGCAGTGTGACCCTGAGATGCTGCCGGTGAAGGGCTGGTATACTTGCTACGCTGTTGCCAGGGGCACAGGGGCAGTCTCGTCAGACAGAGGCGAGGATGCCTCCGGGCTATGCAAAAAAACGTTAGAGGACAGGAAATGAAAGTGGCTCACAGAGAAAGTGTGTGATCACCCTGGAGCCCACTGGATGTCATTTGTGTGCATACATCTCACACACTTTTTCCCTTGGCCTCTAGGAATCTCTCTTATAATAATATCAGATTTTTGTTTGCAGTACTTACTAAAACTCATCCAAAATTTCATGTGAGAGTGTGAAAGTGGTTAGGGCTCTGTACTTCCAAAGCCAAGAGCCTGGGTTCGATCCCTGGTTGAGCACAAAGACCCCACAAAGACAGCACCCCCAAAAAAATCAAGTAAGGAAGTTTATAAAAATGTAATGTTATACTAAGTAAAAAGTCTTTTTATACATTGCTACGTTTTTATAACTTTTGGTTATTTCCCTTCAGACAATTCACACATAGCTATATTTAGATTATGCTGACTGGAATAATATACTCCTAACAGACATAAACAACTGTATTTGCTATCAGTTTCAACTACTTCTCTACTGTATATTTACTACTGGCACTAATATGGGATAATATACTTATTCTGAGTTTAAGCCTCCTTCTAATCTCTCTGCCTCAAAGGATGTTAAAAAAAAGTAAAATCTAAATTAACTGTCTAGAGAATTATGAAAAAACAACTTGCTTTTATATGTTCTCAGCTATGAGTAATAATAATAAATGGCCAATAACACATAATTTCAGAAGCAGACATTGATAAATTAGCATATATTTTTCCCCAGCTCCCAGAGTAACAAATAAATGAGGCAGAGAACTGCTTACATTTTCCTGGTTTGGCTGGAATTCGAATCACAGTGGGCTTCCTGGTGGGTGCTGGTTGAATTGCTTGTTCCTTTGTTGGTTCTGTTCTGGTGGGGAGCTGAAAAGGATCTAATGAAAAACAGTTGATTTTGCACATTTTAGTTAATATGGACTCAAACAAAAAACCTCATTCATAATTAAACAGTCATATTTCTCATGCCCTAGGGAAAACCATTCATGGATAAACAAAATCTCAGTTTGCAGAGACAAAAACAAAATCAGGGCTCATGAAAGGAAACAACTTGGAGCTCTGTAAATAATTTATATGGCTTTTTTTCCTCTCTGATGAGAGATAGCCAGGACAATCTTCAATTATGTAGAAGCTATCTTTCACGGGAGTGTAGTATTTTATAAGTGTCTCCCTGAAAATGAGGGGCAATTGAAACAAGGAGCCCATTTCCCGGCACTGTGAAGCCTCCTGGATCCTCCACTCCCATGCCTCTGCTAGAAAACCTCCCCCGAGGGCCGCCAGGGCCTACAGGGGGCGCTCCGCAGTGTTGAATAGTCAGGTAAACCTACACCTCACTAACATGAAACAGAGAGCGTTTCACCCTGGAAGTAAGGTAAGACATCTTCCTTCAAATATTTAATTTTGGTGCAAGGATATATGAATGAGCATTCCTCTGTCTTAACTCATTCATTTAAAAATGGACTCTATGTGCTTAGGGAGAGTATTTTAAACAAAAGCACAACCACCAAACTTGCTTTTTCCTTTTTCTCTGGCCACAGTGCATGGCTTGTGGGATCTCAACTCCCAGACCAGGGACTGAACCCCGGCCCTCAGCAGTGACAGCATGGAGCCCTAATCACTGTACGGGCAGGGAATTTTCCCATCAAGACTTTTTCCTGAAAGAAATAGTCTTTTTTCCTTTAACACAAATGTTCTTTTTAGTAGCTTGGAAAAATGACCATAAACTTTTTAGAAGATGAGAAATCTAAAAATAAATAGATTAGCAAAAACAAAATCAAATGCTGTATGATGCATACTCTGCACAGCACATGGGATCTCATGAGGCTGCTTCTGCCTTTATTCCACAAGAGACAGAATGAATATACCTTGTATTGGCACCTGTCCTCTGGATCTCACCTGTGGGGAGATGCTCCCTGTGAAACAATGCACTCCAAGCGTTCGTGGTTGGCCTGTTACAGCCGTTGTTCGATAAAGCACTTTTTGCTGACCAACTCTTTTCAGGATATATGAAAAGCTGAGCTAAGGATCAGAAGCGCTTTCAGCTCCCTGACACTTGCCTTCCTTCCCACCCAGCTCTCAGGACACCCCAGACCGGTCACCAGAGCAGCACCCACTCACTAGTCACTTGCTCTCATCTCTGCCTACCACGTGCGACTAACAGTGAGAGGTGGGAGACAGGACAGTGAAGGACAACCCCACTTTAAGTTTGCTATCTACCACCTACATAAGACCCCCAGGGGGCATGCTAGATAACACAATTACTGCTAGGCTACCGGGAAAAAAATTAGATGACCCCTCTATGGAAACCTACTAGTAGCACATTAGTGAGGCGAGCCTTGTCTATGTTCAAAAATCCAACTCAACGTCGTCAAAACAATGTCAAACTTTCAGAAAAGGCTCTTACAATATAACCCTAGAAAATGAACAAAGCTCTTTTAGGTCTAACCAAATTCTTTAATCCCTTATTTTGTTACAGCATTATTTTTCATTTCAAAAATCATGATTATTGTAAAAATGGGAAACATTGAGAAATGTATGATAGAAAATCTCCTGTAATCCCATCCCTCTAGTAAAAATTATCTAAAATTTGGTGTATCTGTCTACAGATTTTTTTTCTATTATCGCATTGTAGATATTTTTGTTTTTTTGGAGTTTCTGGGCTGCAGCACATGGCTTGTGGGATCTTCCCCGACCAGGGATTGAAGCTGGGCCATGGCAGTGGAAGCTCTGAGTCCTAACCACAGACCGCCAGGAAGGTCCTGATTATGCAGGTATTTTGAAAAATAAAAGGAGAATCATTTTATATCTATTTCTCTGTGAGACAGGCTAGGACCTGGGACTCTTGGCTGCAGTGCTGCAATGCTTGCACTCAGACACATCCCTCCTCAGGCAACTAAGAAACTACACGAGACTAAAATAGCTGCATGCATTTGCATTTGCTGCAGACTCTGGACAAAAGATACAAAGAGACCAAAGAACCCAACTGCCACTTCTGAAGAACCCCAAGCAAAAGCAGGATACGGCACATGCCCCCTGCATACAATACCGCCTGAGGGGTGGGAAAACATCTATGCTACCCCTCCAGCTCAGAAGGTAAAGAATCTGCTTGCCAATGCAGGAGATCAGGCTTCAGTTCCTGGGTTGGGAAGATCCCCTGGAGAAGGGAATGGCTACCCACTCCAGTATCCTTGCCTGGAGAATTCCATGGACAGAGGAGCCTGGCAAGCTACAGTCCATGAGATCGCAAAGAGTTTGGACATGACTGAGGGACCAACACACACACACACACACACACACACACACACACACACACGCCTCCAGCTGGACCCATGACTCACTCCACACCAGGAACCAGCTTGGCCCCTGTTGGAGAGCCAGTGAGCAAGGGAAGCTGTCGCTTGTTCTCGCTCCCCGCTGCTACAGGAGTGGCCCGGATAAAGCCTTGCCTGAACTTCTTGTCTGGCCTCTAGTCATTTTCTATTGATTAAGGAGCCCAAGAACCTGGGGGGTAGGTAACATTTGTAACTTGCTCTTTTTTTCATTCAGTATTGATTGAGTGCATGCTACATAACAAATGCTGTTCTAGTTACTGGGAATATGTCAGTGAACAGAGCAAAGAACTCTGCCCTCATGATGCTTACATTTGGGCAGGAGATGGAGACAACAAACAATAAATATAATAGAAAAGTGATCCATGTGGTATTTTACAAGGTGAGACGTGCTACTGATAAAGAGACACGTTGAGCAAGGGGGGACTTCAGGTGCGGGCTGAAGGGAAGCAGGCTGAACGTGAAATGGCAGAGCAAGAGGGTGTGCGGAGCAGAGGGCTCCAGGGCCTCCAAACAACTGGATTTTACACATCCTAACAGTTTTTCCAAGTTGAATAATACACAGCTCGTCTTTGGGAAATAGCAGTGCCCATGATAAAAAGGGGTAGGTACACCGATATGAAAGCCCATTATTTGCAAATACTACCTGACTCTGAACTCCCTGGATGTTGCATCTGAGTACTGCTGGCTAAAACGGAATAATCTGAAGACCCCATGTAATCTGGCATATATATGATTCAAACACAGCAATATCCTATCTTTCCAGTGTGCACAGCTTTCCTTCCTGTTCGTCTCTCTCCCGTGCTGTTGCCCCGGCTCTGCCCCCGGGGCCCGTGTTGGAACCTGCTGACCGTCTGTCCCCTCCTGTGGCTGCGGCACAGCCTTCACTATCCCCACCCCACAGCCCTGGCTGTGACAGCCATCCTCTCAGAGCTCTGCTTCCTCCTGGGAAGAGGACCAAAACTCAAGAAAAGGATTGAGACTGATAACCACTCTTGGTGCTCTCCATTCAAGCAGCATGTCGGCGCTAACAGCTGCTTTGGGGCCTTATAAGCTGTTGGTTATTAGGATAGGTGTCTAGTTGGTGAGTTTAGGGGGTGACTGTGGAGGGAGAGGAAAATCTTGAGTGTGGTATCACTTGAATCGTTCCCCAATTCATCTGAAATTCTGTCTTTTTCACATTCCAGGAGTGAGAGCATGAATAAGGTGGGTGGGGAAGGAGAAAGAAGCCACTCAAGGACCCTCGGTGGACTGGGCACAGGGGCTCCCAAATGTGCTTGCTCTTGGAGGACTGGCCTCAGGGAACCCCGTCCCAAAGCCTGCAGGTCTCACCGATCGCATTAAAGGGTGTAGTCATTCTTTTACACTTGCTGGGTTTAAACTGAAGTAGCAAAATACAACTTAAATACAAAGTATTCAAAATATCCTAGACATTCACTCTCTTCTTGGTCTTTATTTTTAATATCATTAGCTACCCTTTAATAATTGGCACTCAGATCATGGGTAATTATTCTACTATATATGTCTCTGGAAAAGAGAAGCAAGGAAGCCTCAGTGTCCCGCACTGTGTTGTTTGGCAGGAGTGGCTCTGCCTAGCGACCTCCCCGAGCTGGGCTCCCTGAGTCAGCGAGCTCGGCATCTGCCTCTCTGCCTGCGTGCTGTCCCGGGCTGCCGTCCAGAAGAGGCGTGCAGATAGGTGGGGAGGACACACAGCGTCACGGCAGTGAGAAGGCAGAGCCAGAGGCCTGGTTTTCATTTTGATGATGCTGTGTGAGTCTCTCTCTAGCTACACCATATGTTTACTTTTATGTCTTTCCATGAGGGGGGTGTTTTTCTCCAACAGCGATGTAAGTAGGTGACCTAGAAAGCAAGGTGGCACCTCATGTTTGGGAACTCTTGGCAGTGCCAGGCAGGAAACTGTCTACTATGGCATGTTTTTTAGCAGCAAGTTAATAAATAAATAAAAACAAAACATCCTGAAATGCCCATCACTAGAGGAGACACTGACTCGACTATGCTGTGCCCATACCGGGGAATATCAGGCAGGCGTAAGCGAACAAGGGTCAGACTTAGCCACTGGCCCCGAGAGAAGACCTGAAACCTCAGTACCAACCGAAAAAAGCAAGCTGCTGAGTAATGGGTACAGTTCAGTAAAAATTTCTGTAAAAAGCAGGAAAAAGTTTATATGTGTGTACACATTTGTAAGCTTTGGTTTGGAACATTCAAAGGCACCAAAAACTACATACAAAATGGTTCACACTGGTTACTCTGAGGATTTGAGTGGATAGGAGAGAGATTAATTTTTTATTTTACTAAATGTTTATATTGTTTTGTTACAGCAAATGTTACTTTGTAACTGAAACAAAATCCAATAAAATAAATTCAATGACATGAAAAAGTTACAAAATCAAGCTGAAATAACACCTGTGCCAAATAAATTGAAACAAAAATCACTTAGAAATAAAAGGAAAAAATATGAAAATACTTGTCCCTTTAGTTGCTTTTTCAAGGCAATAACAGCCCTAAAATTTTCCATAAAGTAACCAGAAACACAAAAACTCTCTTTTATTGGGTTATTACTCCTCAGTGATTCTATTTAATAGGAAAGAATGCAGATGGGTATTTTTGAATTTGCCTAATTTAGACATATTTAGTTAATAATAATTAGCTTTTATTTGTAACCTTGAATAATATAATTGTTTAGAAATGGTGTATTTTATTATTTAAAAAATTTCTTTATTTTTTAAAATCCTCAGCCTATCATGACCCACAGGCTGAGGATCAGTGCAGGAGGCCATTTTTTCTCTGGGGCAAAGACAAGAGATATCTCTCTTAGTTTCTTTCATCCTAATTCTGCTTATGTCCAGCTATTTAAAGGCCAGGTTCCCCCAACCTCCTCTGCCTACCAAGTTCCCTCATAAAAGACAACCTTTGTTAGCATTTTTTACATGACTTCCAAAGACAGGATATTTGCATGTAAGTATGTGTTTTAACACCAACAATAGTTAAAATACCATGAATACTATCTATACTTTGTATTTTTCACCTAATAGTATCTTGGAGATTGGTCCATAGTAGGGGATAACAGGTGTCTGCCTCTTTTTTAGTTACTGCACAATATTTCATTGTATGGATGCATCAGAATTTACCTAAGCGGTCCACTGAGGATTATTTCCAATATTTCATAGTAGAAGTCCTTGATCTGGGGTGAAGAATAGGCCCTTGAGGCTCTGGAAATAGTACCTCCAATTGTGCATATATGTCAAAACAGTATTTTCAAGGGAGTAAAAGATTCATAGGCTAATCAGATTCTCTGAGTTCTGTGATCCAGAAAGGGTTAAGAACCTCAGGGTCATAATTTTCTCTATCAAAGACTGTTTCCTCTTGCTTCTACAGAAAAAAATCACAACTGTCTGCAAAACACCTCCTAACCAAGTCTAAGGCAAGTCCACGGCATCTTTCTCTCTACTGTCATTTGCAGTGTTTACTCAGCCCTCCTTCCAGCCCCTCACACCTGCTGCCAAACAAGCAGGCCCCTTCACACCTGTACCCGCATGGTCTTCATTACCAGGCTGAGAAAAACACTGATGGTAATGTAGTTTTCTGCCCATTACCTGCCTCTAATAATATGCTTGTCATCATAATTGGTTTCACCATCCTTGGCTTGCTTTTCTGTCATTTTTTCCCCTTGAGTTCTGTTAATAGCAGAAATTGGCTGCTAAACTATTATTCTGATCTGTGTAATGGGGCTGAGAGCAGAAGCATTCTGCTTTTTTGACAACTGGGTATGATTTGTAAAGGTGTGAAGAGGAACTGCTAATGCTTCTCAGCTCCTCAGATCCATTACATTAACCTGGAAGGCATTCGAGCCAAGAAATGAATCCAATATTAAACGCCTGTTTTATGAGTTTCCCCTTAATAATTTTTCTAATCCTTACAATGTTTTCATAGCTTCAGTATTTTCTGATCTCTATTTCCTGAGATTAATATGGCAACTTTATTTTATGAAAACTACTTTATTGGATTTTCTTTCTTTATGAGGGGAGAGAAAAAGAAGGAAAGGCCTATTTGTGAGTTTCCTGCCTTTCTCCTGGGTTCCTCCCCCAGTTTCTGGCTAATGCCAGAACAATTAGGCAAGTTTTCACAAAGAGACTATAATCCTTTACTTACAAAGATAATACTATTAATATACCATCAAAGAGTCACAAAGCCTTACAGCATAGGGAATACAGTCAATAATACTGTAATAACTTTGTATGATGGCAGATGGTAACTAGACTTATGGTGATCATTTTGAAATACTGAATCACTAGGCTATGCATATGTTGTAGGTCAATTATACTTCAGTCTAAAAAATGTGTAGGGCTTCCCTGGTGGCCCAGTGGTTAAAAATCTGCCTTGCGATGCAGGGGGAACCAGTTTGATCCTTGGTCAAGGAAGATGCCACATGGCAACTAAGCCAGTGCACCACAACTATTGAGCATGTGCACTACAGCCCATGCTCCACAAGGAGAGAAACCACCACACTGAGAAGCTCCAAGGAGCAGCTCCCACTCGCCACAACCAGAGAAGGCTGGCATGCAGCAATGAAGACCCAGTGCAAACAAGAAAAAATAGTTTCCTCTCCAAAAAAGTCACAAAGCCCCAATCATTAACCAAAAGTGCCCCTACATTGTGAAGAACTCAGAGAGAATCTTGAATGCCTCTGGAGGCCAATGAGCAAGGAAGCAACAAGGTCCAATGTGTGCTCTAGAAGCATGCCTTGGGTAAGCATGCTATGGTTGATGGCGGTTTGGGAGCAGAAGCAGAAGCTCAGTTAGCAGGGCACTGCGGTTATCCAGACCTGAAGATTAGAAAACTGGGCCAGGAGCAGGAGGGGTGGAAATGAAAGAAAGAGCTACTCATAAGGTAAAACCAGCAGGACCTGGCAACTTATTGGGTGTGAAGGGCAAGAAGTAAGACTAATAACCACCACCTAATGAGCACACACTGTGTTTCAGACAATGTGATAGAGCTTTCCTGCATAATCATATTTAATACTCGCAATGCCTCCACGAGGAGTGTTATGATCATGTTTTATAGATGAGGAAACCAAGGCACTATGGGGTTAAGTAAATCGCCTCAGGTCCCACAGCAATTAAGTGGTGGACCCAGCCTGCCTGACTCCAAATTCAAACACCTAGCCACTGTGTGTGACAGGGAGGGAGGCTCCAGCATGACCTACAGGACTCTGTAGGAAGGCTGGAGTGTAACGGAGGAACCAGGACAGGGGCAGAATACAGGAAGAGGAGCAGGTTTAAGAAGAAGACCGAGGGACTTCCCTGGCAGTCCAGTGGTTAAGACTCAGCACTCCCAGTGCAGGGGGCACAGATCCAAGCCCCGTTTGGGGAACGAAGCTCCAGCAAGCCATATAAGTAAATAAATAAAAATAAAAAGAAGACAGGGCTCAGTCCACAAGTTAAGGCAGTCAGGTAGGGCAAGCAAATGACACCTTTTACTGAAAGGTGCCTCAATAATTAAACGTTGTACAGAAATCGAGAAACAGAAAAGGCTGAGTAGGAAGCTCGACACTATATTCAAGTTGATGTATCCTGCTGACCTTCCTTTTTGAAGATGACCGTGATTATCTGCTTGATGACACAGAATAAATTCTCAGCAATTACTAGCCACGTTGCCATCAGCACAGCCTCTAGCAGCTTCAGAAGACGGTGTTACTTTCGCTTGGACTGCTCCCACCCCTTCACAGCTCGCTGGTGTTGGATCTAACCCTCCCTGTCCTACTCGGAACCCTGTTAACACTAAAGAGGTCTAAATAAAAAATGCTATAATGAAGACTTGAAACGTTCTTAATGTGTTGCCTGGTTTAAGGATTCATGAAAATGTTGAGGTGCAACATGATAGAGTAAAAAATAAGCTAGACTTAGAAAAAAAAAGATGCAGCTTGAATCCTGCTTTGGAAAATTATTAGTTTTATGATACTGATTAAGTTATGTATTTATCTCAGTCTGATATTCTTCATATGTAAATGAACCATGATGCAGGGTTACTGTGAGGATTAAATTCAATCATGTATCTTTGGGATCTAGCAGAGGGTTTGGAAGACAGCAGAAACCCAATATATTCTAATGTTTTTCTTTTCACTTCTTATGGACAAGAGACATGCTACAGCCAGTTCCAATGTTGTGTGTGTGTGGTAAATATTTAATAAATATATGGTTATCATCTGAAATACATCTGTGCTCTGCAGAATTTGGTTTTGCATTACAGAGTTTATATTATTTTGATGCATCTTACACATTTACAAGATAACAGCTAACCTTTTGAAAGTAGTATTATGCTTATATGTTCATAAATTCTATCCACATAAGTGAACAGCAGTAAAAGGAATCTTACTGATGACAAGTAGAGCAGCTTGGTTTGGCAAATCAAAGATAAGCTTTACCATCACATTCTCCATCTGAACAGTGCGAGGAAAGAAAAAAAAAAAGACTCTCTGCCTCTTGGGAAATCTAATATTGGCAGGAAACTTACAACTGTTGTATTTTATTTACAAAACTTCAGCATTCCCAAGGGAAGGTGTTCTGCGAAGACTGTGGAACAACGTTTTGCAACACATGGCCGGGTTTACTGCTCTTGCCAAAGCCCTCCGCGGGGCTGGCGCCTCTCCCGGCACTGCCTCAGGGCTCAGACTGAGGAGGCCTTCTGGGGCGTGACTCCCCATCTCTGAGAAGTTTCCCCTACATCCTCCTCATGCGCGAAGCTCTGCTTGCCTGAGGAAGAGGCAGCCTCTCATCTAGTTAAGTCCCTGGTCCCAGCCGGCTTATTCCTGCCTTGATGACAGTAAGCAACACATGTGGGACCTCCCCGGTGGTCTAAGACTCCGAGCTCCCAATGTAGGGGGTCCTGATTCAATCCCTGGTCAGCGAACTAGATCTCACATGTCGCAAGTAAAGATCTTACTAAAGTAAGATCCGGTGCAGCCAAATAAACATTTTAAAAAACCCACACGTGTCCCTCTTTGTCTCTATCTCCCCACCTCAGACTTTCCCTTCCCTCTGATTCTTTCTTCCACCTAGCTCCTTGTTTCTTAACTTCACTGTTTCTCGCTGTCTGTACACACACACGCATGCATGTGCACACATGTGCATGTCCACACCTCAAGAACTCACGTGCTGGAAATGAGAACAGCAGGTGCCATTTCAAGGTAACCCTGTGAGAAGTTTAGATTCCTCTCTACTTCTAGGCTTTACTCACCCAGAACCATGTCTGGACCAGCAGAGTCCTCAGCCAGGCTCCCAGACGGTGCGGGTAAAACATCGTCGTCGAAGCTGATGAGGTCTACGTCCCCCGGAGGCTGGCTCTGCTGCGCAGGGACCGCGGGGCTGGCTGGGGGGCCTTCCCCCAGTGACCTGAAGGCTTTGGCTTGTGACGCCACCGAGAGCCGGGGAGGCACTGGGACTGGTTTCAGCAAAGCCGCAGAGCAGAGGGTGCTTTCCGAGGACACTGATTTCCTGGGCAGTAAAGGCCGGGGAGCGGGAGTCGGCGCTTTCTTCCCACCGTCGGGACTTTCAGCCGCGGGCCGCCCTCCCAGACTCTCCAGGTTAGTGCTCCGGATAAGGCCAGGATTTGGTTTCTTTGGCAATTCGGGTTTGGTGACGGGGCTGCTCCCTGCTTCCTTCGGCGGAGAGTGAGGGGTGGGGGCCCCCCTGAGTCTGCTTGCGGTCCAGGAGTCCCATTCTCCGGAAGCCCTGTTGGCTGTAGGTTTGGGAGCCAGCGAGGGTTTCCCTGAGGAAACGGCAGGTCTTGGCGGGACTGTGCGGGGCACGATCTCTGGCTTCTTGGGCAGTCCCAAGCTTTCTGTATTTGTCTGACCCTCAAGTGCTTTGACCCTGGAAACGACAGTGCTGCGGCTCTGCTCTGCGTTCATCATGTTCATCACGGCCTGACCCTCAGGGTGGCTGGTACCTTCCCACAGAGGCGGGGGCCGGCTCGGGGCTGCCTCCTCCTGCGCCGCTATCGGGCTGCTCCGGGAATTCTGCTCTTTAACGTGAGAATCTCTGCACACTGGTCTGAGGTTGCTTTTTGATCTTGGTTTTGGCACTGGACATCTTGGAGCACTGGAGTTTTGTGGACAATTTTGTTCTTCAGAAATATCAAAGACTATTAGAGGCTCCTCGTTTGTCGGAGGGTGCCTGGCTGAGATGGCTGGGGAAGGCTGGAGGGGTTTCAGAGGTGCCTGCAGGGCTGACAAGACCAAAATGAACAGAAGCTGCAATGTGACAATGTCAATGAAAAAAGATACACAGATTTTTTAAAATACATATAGAATAACAAGAGATTTTGGTTTCCTTCTTTAGTAAAAAGTAATTCTAAAATCATGGGGGAAACATTTCTATTCAGCTTCCTGCAGAAGGGTTCTTGAGGTTGCATTTATTCATTTAAGAAATATTCATTATATAATATTTTTAAAACACCATTATATTCCTGATTCTCAGTAGATGTATCAATAAACCATCTCTCTCGTCAAAATTCTAACAACTCTTGCTTTACTTTTCCAAGGTAACTTATTCTTATCTGTTATCTTAATATGACGCCCCTTTCTTTTTGCCATGCGGCATGTAGGATCTTGGGCTCGGCAGACAGTGCAGTGGTTAAGAATCCATCTGCCAATGCAGGTGATGCAAAAGACTCGGGTTCAATCCCTGGGTTGGAAAGATTCCCTAGAATAGGAAATGGCTATCCACTCCAGTATTCTTGGCTGGAAAATTCCATGAACAGAGGAGCTTGGTGGGCTACAGTCCATGGGGTTACAAAGAGTCAGACACGATTGACTGACTGAGCGCAGACACAAACACACACACACACACATGCAGGATCTTAATTTCCCAACCAGGGATCAAACTCCACACCCCCTGTATTGGAATGCAAAGACTTAACCACTGGATCACCCGGGAAATCCCTACAAGGCTTTTAAAAAGCCTAAAAGGACAACAACTTTTAGCATCCTACCAATTTTAAGTTGCTAGATATAACAGTTTTCTCAATGGAAGTAAAGGGCATCAGTATGAGTTAAAAGGATGATGTTTTTGTGATATGAACTAGGATGAACCCTAGAGATTGGGGCTGCAGCTTGTGAGAATGATCTATTATAATAATCACAGCAAGCCCAAATAAAGCAAGCACACAGTGATCACATACCGACTGGAAATCGAGCTCAATGAATTATGCACAAATTGCAAACTATTTTAAAGGCTGGAGTCTACTGATTACTTCCTGAGAGCTAGGTTGGAAGGAAGGAAGACAAATTACTTGCATTACTTTGAGGCAGATGGTTGTCTATTTCTTCTGAAAAGTCAGTCTGAGTTGCTGAAGTAATAGTGTGCCGTGGAGTGGCAGCAGCATTATTATTATTTGTAGTGTTAACCTGAACTTGGTTGATTTCTTTTATGACTTGTTCATAAGATGGTGGGAGCTGCAAAATGAAGAATGAAGATTTTAAACAGCTGTAGGCGATAGCCAAGGTTCTTATCTTTGAACTTCATTTAAAAATAAAATGCAAAGAGGTGATGCGATATTTATTCACCTCAGCAGGAACCAGCTCACTAGGCCTCCAAGGGCCTGCTGCAGAAGCCGGGGGAAATGCCAGTCCTGGTGGGTGGGCTCCTGGAAACCACGAGGTGGGCCTCAGCGGCTCAGCTGCCACAATGGTGATCTCTGGGCGCCTGGAAACAGACAGAAGCCTCAGTGAGGTTTTGTTTATTTGCAAGTGTTCAAAGATTTATGAAAATAACTATCACCCAACAGATCACCAGCCCAGGTTGGGTGCATCAGACAAGTGCTCGGGCCTGGTGCACTGGGAAGACCCAGAGGGATCGGGTGGAGAGGGAGGTGGGAGGGGGGACCGGGATGGGGAATACATGTAAATCCATGGCTGATTCATTTCAATGTATGACAAAAACCACTGCAATGATGTAAAGTAATTAGCCTCCAACTAATAAAAATAAATGGATAAAGTAGCAAAAAAAAAAAAAAAGAAAAAGAAAATAACTATCACCCAACAAAGAGACATAAGGCCTGCCAGTCACAGAAATGACCTGTCTGGCCGGGGCTGTCTTGAACAGTATACCCGGGCAGGCTTTGAGGGAGCAAAGGACAGCCGTCCTCCAAGACACTGGCCTCAGAGAGTTAGACATATGCCTCGAGCACGCTTTATGGCCTTGGTTGGTCAGAATTAAGAACCAAGACCCATACAGCCTCGTTCTCCCAGGGCTCTGCTATCTAGCCTATGGAACAAACATAGGTGCTTCCTGAGGCAGAAAAATGCATTGGTCAAATGGAAATGTTTCGTTTCCTGTTATTACAAAGCACATCCTCTGCAACAATACTAATAAGTAGAAGAACAGCTTCCTCCTCCTCACTCCACCTCTCCCTCAGTCAGAGTTATCTTTAAGTGTTTAGAGTTTGCATGTTCACTTCTAGACCCTGATGTGTGTTTCTGTGTTCCTGGTCAGTTTGTATATGAATCTGAAGATAAATCTTCAGTCCTGAGGAGCAAACAGTGATTTAGGTGTGGCTTCTTTCATCATTTTCTTAAGCTGACTCTCTGATCTCATGTTTAACCTTCAACCTGATTTTATAACAAGTACCAGTTGCATGACTCTGAGCAAACTCTTCAACTTCTCTTGAGCCTCACTTTTCTCATCTAACAAATAGGTGTGATGATGACCTGCTCGGCTTTTCTCTGGTCCTCTATGGAAAATAAAAATAAAATGCACTGCCATTATCAAAACTGTATACGCACACACACTCTCATGCTAGCTTGTGAAACAGCTGAACCTGCCCATTGATTTTGTTTGAACTGTATTCCCTAAGAACCTCTGCTTACAGATTTTAAACATTTAAAGAATAAGAATTATTTATTAGGACAAATAACTGAAGTAAGAACATATTTCAAAGAGAAAAATGATTAAACAAACTATATGATCCCCTCACAAATATTACTTGATCACAAAAGTCATATATTAGAAGAAACTGCATTGACAAAGGGAACTATAATTACCAGATCTAATTATGAAGAAAAGCTAGGTTCTGAGGTATATGTACAGAATCTAGATACCTATCTTCATAATCTGGAATGTACTATTCAAAGTTATTAATTGTTGCTGTCTTTACATAGGAGAGTGAATAAGCTGTGTTTTATTTTTCATATTTTTCTTAGTTTTCCAATACTTTCTGTAATGAGCATGTATTCAGAGTTACAAAAATTGTTTCACAAATTGCATTTAGCCAGTCCCCTCTGAGATATAATGCTAAGTGTAGCACAATTAACTTACACTTCCCTCTGTGGAATCCAAATGAGTCATTCCAATGTTTATATAGCTTTTATCTAAATAGATAGTGAGTTACTAGTTAATAAATGTTAACCACTATACATGTATTAGCCCTCATGCCAACCCTATGATGTACTTTAAAGGTGGGGATACACAAACTAAGAAAGGTTAAGGAGCTTGCCCAAGGTCACAGGGTGAGACAGCAAAGTCAGGACTTGAACTTGGTTAAAGTCCCTGTTCATGCTTTACACTGTACTTTAAGAAATCTGAAAGCAGGGACAATAAATCTACCTTTCTATCCATCTACCTGTCCACCCTTCCATCTATCCTACCATCAGTCTATCTACTGGTCCTTCCTTCCATCTGTACAGTGACTCACTCCTCCCTGCTCCCCGACCCCACCAGTCACCTAGCCCTTTTTATTCACCTGCTATCTATCTAGCTTGCCTGACTTTTCCTTTCTTTATCCTTCCTTTATTCCGTTTTCTATCCTGTCATCAGTTCATTCATCCATGTGACATTTACTAAGTAACTATGAGGTACAAAGCATATCTTTGAATAATTTATAGCAATGCTTTTCATATAGCAATTGCTTAATAAACATTTTAAAACTGACTTCAGTAAATGATTACTGTCAAGAGAACGTTTTCAGGCTTGTACTGCTTCTTTTCTCAAGAGAAATCTTCATCATTCAAACTTGTAGACTAATTCAGAAAATGTATTGATGAGGTAGAACACTGTAATATACTGTTTATGAGAAAAATATGCAATTTGTTAACTGATGATACTTTTACTTCATAATTAGCAGAATATATGTCCTCTATTATAAATATAAGCATACCTCCTATCTCGATGAAGCTCACTCTGAATAGAAGTCCGAGAGCTACAAAAGAAACAATACTCTGATTTAGTACAAAATTCATACATTGAATAAAGGTTTAAACTTTTACAGGATACAATTTTGGAAGAAGTTAGCTGACACTTGACATCAGATAGAACATATGAATTTTATCACCCATAAGTAGAAAAGCAAATCAAAACAATCTTCTCATATGGCATAAAATTATTTATAGTTATATATTTGAGTTGCATAAGAAAATATAGATTTCAAAAACATTCCAAAGCACATTCTGTGGTTCTGAAAATAATTTGAAGAATGAACAAAGTAGACAGCTATTAAGTAGAAACTGCCTGGTAAGAGCATTATGATGATAGGAAATAAAAACGGGCAGAAAAAAATTTTAAATATCTATTCTAATCCATATGACTATGCTTTTGTGTTATTTCTTTATAAGTCTATTGAAAAGAGAGTGGAAGTGGTCAAATTTCCAACTATTTTCTAATTTTTCTGGAGTTTTACAAGGTTTAAGTTGTTTTATTACTTAAGTTGAGATAATACATGCAAAAAGTGTTCAAATCACTTCTATAAACATGCTTAGAGACTATTATTGTACATGCAGCACTAACTTTTCCCTTAAACCTCAAACTCCAAAAACTAGATGGATTACATTTTTCCAAATTTTATTTTAAAATTAAATTCTGTATTAACCAGATGACTTGGAAAATGTGTCACACATGGGGTCACTATTACACACACATGTGTAAC